AAAACTTTAGAACGAATGATAAACACTAGACTGGTTTGGTTTCTTGAGGCCGACGATATAATATCCCCTCTTCAAAGTGGTTTTATAAATAGAAGAGGGACAAATGACCATCTCATCAGATTAGAGACATCCATTCGAGAGGCTTTCGCCAAGAAGGAACACCTTGTCGCCGTGTTCTTTGATCTTGAGAAGGCCTATGATACTACATGGCAGTATGGCATCATGAAAGATCTTCACGACCTTGGCGTACGTGGAAACCTTCCCAATTTTATATCTAATTACCTATCAGATAGACACTTCAAAGTCCGTGTTGGTTCAACTTTTTCTGAAACGTCTAAACAGGAAATGAGGGTGTCCCACAGGGTGGAATCCTATCAGTCACACTGTTTGGTCTTAAAATCAATGATGTAGTCAAATGTCTTGGTCAATCAACAGAAGGGTCGTTATTTGTGGATGACTTCTTGATCTGTTACAGATCTAAGATCATGCACACGATAGAACGACAACTTCAACAGAGTTTAAAACAAACTACAAAATTGGGCAGACGAAAACGGCTTCAAATTCTCTAAATCCAAAACTGTGTGCATGCATTTCTGTCAAAAACGAAAAGCACACAATGACCCAAATCTAACACTCGATGGCAGTAGAATTCCTGTTGTTAAACAGACAAATTTCTCGGCCTCATTTTTGATTCGAAACTCTCTTTCATACCACATATAAAGTATCTGAAGGATAAACACAAAGGTGAGAAAGTGGCAGCAGCCTGCTGTACTGCTAATACTTGCGCCTCCATCTTTTCTGCTGAAGCATGCGCCATTGGTTTGGCCCTCGACCATATCGATGAACACCGAATTAAAAAGGCAATTATTTGTTCAGACTCTCTATCTGTCCTACAGAGTTTACAGTTACGAGATCCTAAAAACACACTCGTACAAAACCTTGCTCTTTGAATATCTCGTATCTTAAAAAAGTCTATAATAACTTTACTATGGATTCCGAGCCATGTCGGAATTAAAGGCAACGAATTTGCTGACAGGGAAGCAACAAATGCATTGAATCTCGAACAAACAAATATCAAACTACCATACACAGATTTTAAACCTACTATTCGTACAGCCATTCAAAATGAATGGCAGCAACGCTGGTCTCTCGAGACCACAAACAAACTTTTTAAGATACAACCGAAACTTAAAACATCTATTCCCAGTCGGAAAGATCGTAGAGAGGAAGTTGTCCTCGCTCGGCTCCGCACTGGGCACACATATCCTACTCANGCCCTTATTGACGTTGTATATATATCACATATTCCATATCATCTATTCGTTATCTCTTTTGTTATTTTGACCCCTTTTTTAATTTTTTATTATCTACACATACAGTGCGAATGTTTTTAAAATGAACCATTTTATCTGATTTTATCTTCGCTACTCACATGTTTGTTGAAAAAATAAGATAAATAAATGAATCACCATGGCCCTAAATGAACATAAACAAACAAACAAATCTTCGTCAGTAAATGAACGTAGATACTCCAATGCCTGGTGTCTGTGCAACTCGTTTGTCCGGACGGGGTCAGGGAAATGTTTCGCGCATGGACAACCTCTGACCGACATTCAATGTTACCGGTTTGGTTTATAATTTCAGAATGGAATGTTTTTGGCGCTACCAATTCTCCAGTTTCGATTTCCCCCTTGGAAATTTTTCCGATCACTTCCTTGCGGAGAAAACGTGCAGACCTTGGCGATGTTATCGGGATGCGCGTATGTGGTATCCGCTTGACTGCACGTCTCGCCCTTCGCGGATAATCGCGTCCAGAAACACACTGTTTGATTAAACTGTGAAACATCCACATTGTTATTTATATATATCACATATTCCATATCATCTATTCGTTATCTCTTTGATTATTTTAACCCCCTTTTTTATTTTTTATTATTTACACATACAATGCGAATGCTTTTAAAATGAACCATTTTATCTTCGCTACTCACATGTTTGTTAAAAAAATCAAAAAATCAAAAAAAATCACCATGGCCCTAAATGACCACAGCCGTCGATGGGCCGTTAAACATAAACAAACTCCTAACAAACAATATAACAAACAATATATACCTCCTAGCAAACAATATATACCTCCTAACAAACAATATATATCTCCTAACAAACAATATATACCTCCTAACAAACAATATATACCTCCTAACAAACAATATACACCTCCTAACACACAATATGTACCTCCTAACAAACAATATATACCTCCTAACAAACAATATATACCTCCTAACAAACAGTTTGTACGTCGTAACATACAATATGTACCTCCTAACAAACAATATATACCTCCTAACAAACAATATATACCTCCTAACAAACAACATATACCTCCTAACAAACAATATATACCTCCTAACAAACAGTTTGTACGTCGTAACATACAATATGTACCTCCTGACATACAAAATGTTCCTCCTATGACCATATTTAACATATGATATATACCTCCTAACATACTATATATACCTCCTAACATACAATATGTACCTCCTAACATACAATATGTACCTCCTATGACCATATTTGACATACGATATATACCTCCTAACATACAGTATGTACCTCATGACATACAATATAAACCTCTTAACATCCATTATGTACCTTCTGACATACAATATGTACCTCATGGCATGTATTATATACCTCCTAATTACATACAATATATACCTCCTAACATACAATGTATACCGCCTATGACCATATTTGACATATGATATATACCTCCTAACATACAATATGTACCTCATGGCATGTATTATATACCTCCTAACATACAGTATGTACCTCCTATGACCATATTTGACATATGACATAAACCTCCTAACATACAATATGTACCTCATGACATACAATATATACCTCCCAACATCCATTATGTACCTCCTGACATACAATATGTACCTCATGGCATGTATTATATACCTCCTAACATACAATATGTTACTCCTATGACCATATTTGACATATGATATATACCTCCTAACATACAATATGTCCCTCCTATGACCATATTTGACATACTATATATACCTCCTAACATACAATATGTGCCTCCTAACATACAATATGTACCTCCTATGACCATATTTGACATACGATATATACCTCCTAATATACAATATATACCTCCTAACATACAATATGTACCTCCTAACATACAATATGTACCTCCTATGACCATATTTGACATACGATATATACCTCCTAACATACAATATATACCTCCTGACATACAATATGTACCACCTATGACCATATTTGACATAAGATATATACCTCCTAACATACAGTATGTACCTCATGACATACAATATATACCTCTTAACATCCATTATGTACCTCCTGACATACAATACGTACCTCATGGCATGTATTATATACCTCCTAACATACAGTATGTACCTCATGATATACAATATAAACCTCTTTACATCCATTATGTCCCTCCTGACATACAATATGTACCTCATGGCATGTATTATATACCTCCTAACATACAGTATGTACCTCATGACATACAATATATACCTCCCAACATACAATATGTACCTCCTGACATACAAAATGTTCCTCCTATGACCATATTTGACATACGATATATTCCTCCTAACATACAGTATGTACCTCCTATGACCATATTTGACATATAACATAAACCGCCTAACATACAATATGTACCTCATGACATACAATATATACCTCCCAACATCCAATATGTACCTCCTGACATACAAAATGTTCCTCCTATGACCATATTTGACATACGATATATTCCTCCTAACATACAGTATGTACCTCCTATGACCATATTTGACATATGATATATACCTCCTAACATACAAAATGTTCCTCCTATGACCATATTTGACATACGATATATACCTCCTAACATACAGTACGTACCTCCTATGACCATATTTGACATACGATATATATACCTCCTAACATACAGTATGTACCTCCTATGACCATATTTGACATATGATATATACCTCCTATGACCATATTTGACATACAATATGTACCTCATGACATGTATTATGTACCTCCTAACATACATCATATACCTCCTAACATACATCATGTACCTCCAGCTGACATACGATATATACATCCTAACATACAATGTGTTCCTCCTTTGACCATATTTGACATGCAATATGTTCCTCATGACATGCAAATAATTACCGGTCTTGGTAATGCAACAAAGACTAGCCGATAGGTTTAATATAAAAAGATGATTATCTGTAATGACTGAATGACTTCTCATTAACCGAGAGCCTTCGAATGATATTTGGCAAGTAGCACGCTGGAATGAAGGGCCATCAAATTTGTTGAAATAAATGACCTTGACCATTGACGAGGGTCGGATGTGTTAAAACGGCCTCTTAATAACCAAGAGCTCAATGATACAAGGTCAGTAGAATACTGCAATATAGGGTTATCAAGTTTGTTCAAATAAGTTACCGTAATCCACTATTCAAGGTCGCAGGTATCAAAGTTTAATTTTCAGTGATGTCTGTATAACCAAAAAGCTTGGGCAATATTTGGCAAGTAGTCTGCTGGGATGAAGGGCTGTGGGAACTGTTCAGATAAGTAACCTTGACTTTCTACCATGGCCACAAAGATCAAATATGTCAAAACCTTTAAACATCTTCTGTAAGACCAAGAGGGCAAGGGTCATGACATTTGACATGTAGCATGCTAGATCTGAGGGTTATTAGAAGCCTGTCCAAATGAACAAGATCTGCCTTTTAAATTTTATACTTTTTCCACTGGCCTTATTTAATTAACTTGTGCCCTGCTAGCCATACATATATTCAGAATAGAAACAATACATATATGCAGTGGTTAATAGATTCAGGTGGATGGTAGAAAGACATTCACAATGTCCTAGCTTCACACAGGTGGGGATGAAAAAACCACACTTTTCAATTTAATTTTCTTACATCATTTATTATTACAAGCATGTTCCTGCAAAGTGATGCACATAATTTGACAAAGTTGTAATTAGCAAAATGCAAAAACATGTATTTTGTTAGAAAGTTGAACTTAATCACACTCCCTTGGAAGAAATTACCAACGCTGTCATGCATTGTCTGGTAACTCAAGCGCGAGTCTGATGCGATGGCTTACACACATGTATCACCCTGACCGTATTTCTCAGAAAGGAATGTGCCTATGCTCTTTATAATAACGCTTATACAATTTTGCAAATATACACTAGAATATTCTGACTAAGGCATAGAATGAACAAAATTCATCAAGGTTTTCAAATATTTTTTTTACATCTGGCACTTCCTATGTGTTAAATCCATGCATCTTTACCACGTTATACGATCTTATTGTGCATTACCAAGGTATACGATCTTATCGTGCACTACCAAGGTATACAATCTTATCGTGCACTACCAAGGTATACAATCTTATCCTGCATTACCAAGGTATACAATCTTATCGTGCATTACCAAGGTATACAATCTTATCGTGCATTACCAAGGTACTACAAATGTTTACACCATCTTAGCAACCTCGGTAGCACCTGAACAAAACAGCTTTCGATCTTATTTTACGGACCAAAACTCTTTCGACATCATCTGGCCAAGAGTTATTTACTCCACAATGAAGACCAGACGTTTTTTGTCTTCAGGAACAAGTTAATCGGTGAACCAGCAACACAAAAACTTGTCCCTCGGAGAGGAAGCACCAAGTATGAACAGTTATATTACACAAAATGATGGATGTCAACTAATATTTTTGTCGATTGCTGTTAAGGTTTAGGTAATATGAATCACAAATGGCATCAAAAACAGATCTCCCTCTGTAACACATTGAAGATGATATCAATCGTTCAATCTGTTCTGAGCCTGCAATCCATCACAATAATATCATTCATTATTGATTGATCTTTTGAGTTTTTGTTAAGAATTCCTGTAGGAGGTGTTTTTGGCTTTGCCTGTAGTATCCTCTGGTCGGATAGTAAGGAACACATCATCAGTGGGATCACGTTTATATGGCTCATCTGGCTTCCTCTCTTCTAACGACTTCTTGGCCTGAACTCGAGAAACGTACTTCTGAGCAAACCGTTTGTGCACTTCTCTCCGCAACTGAAATGTAACAAGAGTTAATCGTTTCAGTTCAACTACCATTATCAACATTCACTTGATTTTTTTTTCTTTGAAAGATTTATTTTGTTTTAACTTGTGAAGAAAAAATACAGAGATAAATGTAACATGTAACCTCACCTCATTGGGAGATCTGTATTTAGGATTTTCATATAGTGTTGTGCCACCAAAACTTCCTGCAAACACTCTTATTGGATTCAACACGAACCTTGGACCTGTCAAAGGAAAAATGCAACACATCAGAAACTGAAGATCAAAGAGATAATGAACTGGATTGATTAGTGAAGGATTATTCTAGAAAACAGATATATTGCTTGCCCTATGATCCTGATTGGGGCATGTTTGGTGTTGGCTTGTAAAGTGTTGTCTGGTGTCGGCTTGTAAAGTGTTGTCTAAACCAGATACATCATAATATCAAGCTTCATTATTAAGCAGGATATTTGAAAAAGATTGTTGGAGACTATTAACTGATGTCCCATTACTAACTTTCTTACCAGCTAAACAATGTCACGGTTAAAACTGGAATAAGATTGTTATTTGTGTTGAAATCGTTGAACTATCATTTGATGATAGATAACCTCATAACCGAGATAACGTATTTCCTAAAAGGTAAGACTACAAAAACCTCTTAATCAAGTCATGTAACTAGGACTTTTATCTGGGGCAGGTAACAGAAAGACTGCTCACCAATCTCTGCCAAGGAGCCATCCTCCTCCAGTATTTGGTAGTTTCTGAACCAAATTCTGTTGTCCACGATGGAGAAGGTAAACACATGGTCAAAGAAGGGCTGACTTTTTGGATGGAAATTTGGTGTTCCAAATGTCTGAAAATGAACAATGGTTTTGGAATGTTTAGAAGTGTTAGAACAAGTAACAAGTGTTTGTTATCTAATAAATATCTAATAAATACCTGTTACAAGTGTTTGTTATCTAATAAATTAATACCTTTTCAGAAGTTTTTGCATCTAATAAATACCTTTTTAGAAGGACATGGTATTACCTTCATGTAAATATTTTTCGATATCTGTATAAATTATCTAGTTTAATCTTCTGATAAATACAATACCTGCTCAGAAGTATTCAGAACTTTTCCACAAGAGAATAGACAACACAATTTGTGGTCAAGCATGCCTCCCCCCCCCCCCCCCCATTTTTTTTTAACACACTAACTTTAAGAATATTACCAAACTATTAAGCAGACAGGAAAAGTTGAAAGTCGGACTTCTTCCCCCATCACTAACCCAAGAGTGATTTGCATCCTTGTGAAACAGGTCAAACTGTGTACACATATCAAAGTGTTGGTCATCATCAATAGTCCAGATTAACACGGAGTGATAATGAAGATTACCTGTACAAATAGCTCCTTTAACAGCGACCAGTGCGGTTCCTGATCAAACATCTGTAAATGAAAACAACCTTTTAAATGTCCATCTTAGTGTATGATGCCAAGTATTATCTTTCATAGCACAATGCAGCCAAACTCGGCCCTAGTAATCTCAATGCAGCCAAACTTGGCCCTAGTAATCTCAGCCAAACTCGGCCCTAGTAATCTTAGCCAAACTCGGCCCTAGTAATCTCAATGCAGCCAAACTCGGCCCTAGTAATCTCAATGCAACAACTGGGTCAAAACTGGATGATGATTCGAGAGGTTGACATGAACAAGCCAATCAACCAATCATATTCCAGCACAACATCACTCAAAAAGGATGATTCACTCTTTATATAACACCTTTTTTTAGATTTCACAAAATTTATGTTTTGTCAAATCTTAGATATTTCTGTTTTGACCGCTTTACAAAAGTTGTATATTCCTACATGTCTGTATGTAAATAATGAATTTCAATAAAAGAGTGAATTAGTACAGGTATGAATTATTTTTTAAACAGGAAAATATATTTTCTTATACCTTTCAAAGGAACAATATTTTAGCGAAGGCACACATTCCAGGAACGAAAAGGTTTATAGTGACTTAACTCCTTTATGAAAAACTGTTTCTATTTTAACAATCAGAAATTATGTTTGTGATTGAAAGAGAATAAGAATGAGGATATCCCTTTCAAATTTGTAAGGGTATACCGCGATTAAACCATTGCAAATTGAGTTTTCCTGGTGACACAAATAATTCCACTTGTGACGGTGTTATCACGAAATACTGCTGAAAATATCAAAACACAGTGGGGTTATCCTAATATGCTCCACTTATCAGAAGCAAAAGACGTTTATTTTGCAATGAGGTCAAAATTAAACTGGTGAATTCTTATATAATTTCATTGTTTGTCAAATTCTAAATTATTTATTCTAATCTGGCCTGTTACTTGTATCATAAGGCAAATCACAAAAGTTTTGTTGTAGAGTAACTCATATCTTAAAAAATAGCTTACTGGATCAAATGACAGCAAAGGTCTTGATCCCTTAAGGCAGTTCCCGGTCATTTTTAGTTCATTCATGGTGTGTACTAGAAAAAAAGTAACACAAGGTTAATACATACTAATGTGTACACCTATATAAAACAAACCATAGAGCAGGAAATTTTTATTTTATGAATTTACTAAAATTGAATCTGAGATTTTGCTTTTTCAAATTCGGTACATTTTGTATATATGCAAAAGGTTATACATTTGGAGGCTAAAGTACGAAAGCATTATTTTATACCTGGAAATTTTTCAAATTGAAACACCAGCATGTCCACAAAATACAGTGTCAGTCAAACAACAATTTGTTGCATAAACAAAAGTGTAGAATTCAAAGTAACTATGAAAAGTGCTGAATGCGATTGCTGTTGTAATATGAGGGTGAAAAAAATGCATGGCCGGGCCAGACACAGGCTACATTCGCGTATACCGGTTGAAACGGTACATGTGGCGCAGAAATTTTCCACAATAAACGAACGCACTTGGACCGTTCTATAAGCAGGGCTAAAAATGCACAGTTTCGGAGAATAAAAAACAATGTATCAAGAATATTATGCCCTTCTCTTACGCGTCCACTGAATAACATAACGTATTTTAAAAACTACATGTGACTTGACATTGTTTTAGAAAGAAATTACGCAAACTAGCAATAGTCAGCATTTAAGTTTCGGTCTGGTATGTCTGGAACCTCAATCTACATGTGCCGAATTTTCCTGAGGTCAGCCTCGGTCCAGATCTGTACCTGTTGTTTTCTTTACAGGTTCAATCGGTTCAATCGTTTCAACTGGATACTCGAATGTAACCCTAGATTCAAACTCGGGACCCTCCAAACTGTAGACAAACGCTCTACTAATTGAGCTACGGGTGATCGACAAAGTCCATTTCTGCTACATTACATATGCCATCAGTTGGATACACTCAGGTGCTATCCACGTAAATGTAAGCGTTCAAAGAAGCCGAAAAACGAAAGTTAAAAGAACATCATGTTCATTCTAAATGGGGATCTGCTAATTCCTGCAATGTTGTTTTTTTATATATAATTTAACTTCATAGAGATATATCAAACTTAAAATATTGATTGTGGTCTTATTAAATCTAACATTCTCATTTTTGTATTGAACATGCATTATGTAATGGTTTCTGGGATATAAAATGGAGATATAGACATGAAATTAAACCTCTACAATGTACACTTACCATTTTCTACAAGAAACTTCCCAGATGGACCTGATGGACAATTTGAAATCCTGAAAGATAAGAAGTTTAACTGGGCATTTAACTGTATGTGATATAACAACTACACTTTCTAGTTTTACCTATACAAGTTTTCTTACAAGACGAAATAAAACAAGTTGTGTAATAATGGTTGATGTTCACACTTTGTTTTCATCCCAGCATTAAAGTCTGCACAACAATAAATGATTACAAGGCGCAAATTATGTAATTTTCAGTATATTAATTTCAAGGCAAGTAACATTTCATCACCCACACAAAAGACAAGGCTTGTATCTCTCATCTGGATGTTTAACTCATTCACCCCTGAAGACACATTTGAACTCTTCCAATTGAAAGGTTGGAATAGTTCATTAGGAAACTTCAGGGGTGAATGAGTTTGGCAATCTTTGTTACATTTGTGTATATATGTCTCTTCATAATGGGGATCCCAACCATTTCCAAATTACATGTTTTTTCTTTGGAGCTGGGGGGGGGGATACTTCCAACTAAATATGGTTACTAACCATTTAAAAAAAAATATTAGGGGGGTGGGGGTCAATAAATAAAGTATAAAGAAAATGCTAATGGACAAAACGACAACAAGCACCACAGTATGGCATAAGCTCACTTTGGTCCTTTTGGACTAGATGAGCTAGCTACAAAGACATGCAAATACATACCACATATACAGATCTTGCTTCTTTTTCGCCTCAAAGTACAAACATTTGCCACAGTTTTTCATTTCACAAATCTAAATAAAATCAGACAGACAAAAACATAATCAGCAAATATTTGTTATTTGAAATTTCTAATTATTACTACAAAGTGAAATTTTACTAAACCATTGCTAAATCGTAACAGAAATATCTCCAAAACAAAGCAAAGCTAACACAAACCCTGAACAAGTTTTGCAATTGCCAATACATGTATGTTACAATATTTGACTATCAATGTATACTGCAATATGATTTTACAATGGCAATATATCAGAGGAGATTTTTACACTAAATATGTGGTAGTTTAGGTACAGATATGAAATTGAATTAATGTTATCTAAATGAAGTTTGTTTGGTGTGATAACTTCCAATATTATATAAAAGTTTGTTTTTTTAATTTACCAATGAAACTTACTGAGCTGATGCTAACCTTTCGTTTATTCTATGGAAAACAGAATTTCTAGGAATATATTGTGAAATATTGGAATATATTTTTTGATGCGGTAACTGCTCTCAAGAGCTAATGTTGCATACTAAGATGTTTGCGACTTTAAATAAAGCTTCTTGTATCTTGTAATATGTGTGATGTTGAGACTTTCATCAATAGTTTTCACCCTCGTGTCTTTCAAAACAAAACTACCTTAATTACAAGAGTTGAATTTGCCCTCCCGTAATAAACTAGAGACTTTCATTTAGTCACTGCAAGTATCTTGCTTACGAAATCTTGACCCGGTGTTAAATTGTCAAATTTTACAGTACATCCTTGATAATCTTTTATTTAGTCTTGTAGATTGTCGAGTTATTCTAAATATACAGACTCACAATTAACAAATAAACCTTCACTTACCTCATTTATAACATACAGCTGATCTTTTTTGGCCATTTTAGACTCTAAAACAGAATTTTTCGATATGATATTAATACTCTGAAAAGACAATTGCTCACTTCTACCTTCAGCCCCCTGGCTAGTTAATATTTAGGCACATTTTTTATCTTGATTTTTCAACAATATAACATTGCTTGACAACATTTCATTTTTTTTTCAATGGGGGGGGGGGGGGGGGGGGGAGATCTGCAAGGCGATCTGCAAGCCAAAATCTAACTATAACAGTAAGCCAAAGGCCCCCACTCCTATATAAACCAGAACTGTAAGCTAAAGGCTGAGTAAGGTAAAGCATTGCAAAGCAATCCATAGTCTCCCACCAGTAATGATTTCTTTATTTACTGAGCTGTACACTTATTTAAGTACATAGGTAACTGACATACTCTCTGTACTCCCTCCCAATGGCAAAAACTTACTTGCAAACCAAATCGTGTTAATAGCCCAGATGAACAAGTTTTGCTGTAATCGTCCTAGTAGTTAAGGAAGAATTATCAAAACAAGGATTTTTAATATAGGGCCATAACTCCTTAAAAATGAGTTGAAATGAAAAAAAATACTACCCTGATGCACGACATCAGGGGGTAATTACAATATCTGAAAACTTTCATTGAAATCAGACCAGTAGTTTTGGAGACAGAAAAAGTTTTTTTTTCAACAAAGAACCACAACTCCTTTTAAAAGGTCAAAATAAAAAAGTACTACTTGGATGCACAACATCAGGGGGCAGTTACCATATCTGTAAACTTTGAAATTGGCCGAGAAGATAAGGGAAGTTGTCAGGACAGGGGTTTTTCAACAAAGGGTCATAACTCCATAAAAAAGGGTTGGTAGTTATTGTATGTGGAAAGTTTCGTTGAAATTGGTCCATTACTTTAGAAGGAGTTGTCCAGACAAACTTTTTCTAGGGACAGAGAGACAGATGGACAGATATGCTGATTCCAGTATAACCCCCCTAACTTTGTTGCGGGGGGTATAACAAGAGACTTAAAGGACCCGTATTGCTCACATGGATATTTACTTGTAAGCAATGATGACAATTCAGGCTCAAGTGCTCCAAATCACATTTTTTTTCCATTGGAGTACTCAATCCTTCTTTCAAAATGCTGGGTTGAAAACTATAACCTTTTTTTAACTGAGTATTTCATAAAAGCTTATGTTGAATTATGTATAATAAACATACATACTTTCATAGATTGTGTTATATTTATGCTGGATCATATAAATCATTGCTCTAATGTTGTAAATTTATAGTAACACAACATCATGCAACCATCAAATGTTAGATAATAGGATCTAGACTGAAAATTACATACCTTGTTTGCTGTGGGGCATTAAGGCTCGCAAATCATTCATCAGGTACCGAGCCCTGTATGATATTCCTCTGGAACTAAACACCAATACTCGCTCTCTGTTTGTCCACTTTGGCTAAAACAAAATATATTACACATGTTACATTTATGAAGCTGGGTTGTTTAAGTTTTCTCTCACTTTGTAATTATTTAGTTTTCTTTCTTGTGTATGGTGAGAGCCTCTGAGGTTATGTATACTGGGTTTTTTCTTCACTATTTTGGGAATTGGGCATGTGCGTTTGGAATTGGGAAAATTGTACTGCAGTCATTAAAGGGGCTGGTTGGGGAAAAAATTACAAAATAAATGAGACTAAATGCATTCTCTGGCCTTCCAAAAGTTATACCACGGCAATATGATGGTCGAGTTCTGCTTCAAATGTCCAGTTTTGACCACTGAAATCTCGGGGAAGCCCCGCATAAATTTAGCGCAGGTCTATTTATATATGTCACGTGGATGTTTCGAAAGTGAGGCAGTGAAGATAACAACAATAGCACGACGTCATGTGCCATGTCAGACTCAACTAACGGACAAGACAGCAATACTATACGTAAATAATTGTTTTCAAAGGTCATGTATGATGCATGTATAGTATTCCTACCTATATGTTGTAGTTATATATAACGGTATTGATACCTCGTGCTTGTAATGACTTTTGCATGCATCTTTTTCTTTCGCCGCAATGTTTACATTTGGCCTTGTTGATGACGCGTGTGCGGTAAAATTACATCACTGATCTGGGTCAATTGAGAGTTTTGGACTGTCAGGTGACGATTTAGGATTTCTTTAATATAATTATAATTTTTACTCTTACGGAGTGAATTTCAGCAAAATTTGAATTGGTGTATTTCATAAGAAGGTATTTTAAACATGTGTATGCCATTTTAGCAAATATGACATTTTTTCCCCGATCAGCCCCTTTAATCTTAATTAAGAATTTTCAGAAATACTGTTTTATGTTGTGATTAGCCCCCAGGCCCCCTGTGATCATAAAATGATCTTAATGTCGAATGAGTGTATTGATAAACAGAAATAGGAAGTACGTCCCTTGTTGAAAATCCAATGAAGGGAGACAGTATCACAATTTCTGCATATTCTAATGAGTCTAGAGTTGTGATGAATATTGTATGTTTATTATTGACAGAACATTTCTCTCAATATTAAAGTATCTCAAAGCAATCCAGGCATTAACTCAGTATTTTTTTTATCAATGAGTCACATGTGTCCATTTTCTGTACTTCAGGAACCGGCTACCTATTTCACTACTGTGAAGTTTTTCAAGAAAGATAACTCTTACAAGCAATTACTATGTGTATATAGTTTTATTATAAAATGTCAATTTTTAATCGTTTATACAATTTATTTTACACAATTTCAGCATTTATTAAATTGTTATACATTAATGCAATACTAATCTATGGCAGTATCTTTTCATAGCGAAGAAGCTGATACTGATTAAAATGGAATTGATACACAAAGAAAAAAAAAATCAGACATTGCCTATGCCAACTATGTCTCTGACATGTTGGAAAGTTGTAAATAGATATTCTTGATTTGAAACAGACATATGCAGAAAATTTAAAATATGACTTTATAATATACTTCATTTAGTCTGATATATATTAGCAAGATGGGCTGAAGGACTCTCCGACTGATAGAGGGTATGATATAAAAAAAAAATCACATGATAGCATAAGTAATAATTCTCTATGAGTAGTATTTCAAGCTAGCGCTGGGGAAAAAAAGAGACGAGAGGACATTTTCCAAGATGGAGTACATGCCTGATGAGCTGTACATGTGTCAGGTTCTGTCAAGTGGAGTAATAGTATGTATTTATATTGGTTATGAGATGGAGATCAATTTTTTTTCCATGTAAACAGCTAGGGATTAAGTCAAAGGGAAAAGGCTCCTAGCAGCATGATTGTGATCATCTCTTATGCCCAGCAATATGGATACTATAGTCATGGTATGAGAATCTTTACTCAGAGAGTGAGTCCCTAGGGTCAGGTGGGACCCAAGGGCTAATCTGTGTATGAATGCATGCCTTCTGTCTATGGTTCATGGTTTATGGTGGTCGACGTCTTCGTAAGCATAATACATTGCTTCTGTTGACGCTTCTCATAGTTGTTCACATATTTACAGGTTGCGCAGAGGATGCGTATACAACTTATATTACATATTAGTAGCACGATGGTAAAAACTTGATTGGGTGATTGACCCAATGCTTATTGAGTCTAGACTCAAAAGCATTTAAGGTTGGGGAATCTACCTCAGTTGTAGAGAGTTGATTCCAAATATTTACAATTTTATTTTTAAAAAGATGTCCCCTAATGTTTATGTATGTCTGTATCTGGGTATACAGCGCAGGGTCCCTCAGGACATGTATCGCATTGGGGGAGGAGTGCTATGTAGTCTAGTAGTTCTGAAGGGTGAGGGTTCCTTTAAAACTCTCCACTGTGGTACTATGAGTGGAGATGTCGGTCAGATGGTTCCAGTCAATAGTAGTCTTATTGAAGAAAGAGTTTTTAAATTGTTCTGTTTTACAATTCTAAAATCCTGCGGACGAATTTTACGTTTATTTCCGGCAACTGGTGTTAGGAACTCATGCGAGGGTAAGGTTGGCACCACACCCTCAACCACTTTATAGAACATGACCAGGCGAAGCATACAACGTCATTAAGCTAGTGGGGACAGGCCTGCGTCTCTTAACATTTTGGTCGCACATCCTTCCTCTCTTGAACGAAAGTCCCCGGAGATGAACCTGTGCATTGTGAGGATCTCAATAAAATTTTGGAGCCTATGTAATGATTCTGGTCATTTTTAGTGAAGTATCATTAGCACACCTGGTCCAAAGGACCAGTGATCATGAGCTTAGTTTGTGGCACTTCGTTGGTTTTCCCGTCCATTTCTTTAATATGCTAGTCCAGAACGGCTGAAAATTGGTTGACTTTGACTTAATCTGTGGGCAAAATGTAAAATCAGAAACACAAAGGACACAAGAAGCAATGACTTTATGGAAGTAACGTTTATTACCATGCCGAAACATCTTGGTACGAAACGACCAAGTATTGTAACGTCGGTTTCCCTGGATCTATCAATTTGTATTTACCAAGTCCCTGCTGATTATTACACCTATTGTGTACGGTCATCATTATTACCTGTTTCTTTGGCGGCTCATCTGATGAAATTACAGGAGGAAGCACTACCGTTTCTTCGACAACTTTACGTTTACCATCACGCACGTGTGTAGACTCGATAACACGTTTTCGCTTCGCCATCTTTGTTTTGCAACATGATTAGACGCGGAGCTAAGTTTTAATTTAACTTAGAGAATAAAAAATATCTTATAAATAATAATTTACGAATTATTGAACAAATTCTTAAACCACACCCAAATATTTTAATAAATTTTTAGCTCCATCTATTTTATCTTGTAAATAGCTGTGATAGCCTAGCTTTTAATAATAATATTATGTAGCTATATTATTGAAATTGATAACAAGGAATACACTTTATATAAATAGATTAAGGATGATAGTAAACCATTGTTTTTACGAACTATTTTTTATTATTGATAAAATGTTATGATAAATTTTTGAGTGCATCACGTTACCATCCTGCTCGGCAAAAGACGCATTTTGAGTGAATCTTTCGTACGGTATTTTCGTGTCAACGCTGAATAATAGGTTATGTGATGAAAGTTCAGCTTATTGGTAGGGACCATTATTGATATTTAATCGTTACTACTGTTAAAATTTCCAAGATGTCACAACATGGAAGTAAAAATCCACCATCTGGTAATTCTCAAAATGTGACTCTCTCTCAAGATGGCAGACCGGGACTCAGAAGACCAATGCCAGATACACAACAGAGGTTGCTGAATGGGAGTCCTGGTATTGAATTTAATACAACTTCATCTGATTTCCATATTATTCCAAACATTTAACACGTGGATAGGGATTCTGATATTTATGAACTAGGTGTTACAGGAAGTTTATATAAAATTATATTTATGAACACAGCACATGTCGGACCACGTTGAATGAGTAATGATCCGAAAAAAGTTTAAGTTCTTTTATTACTTCATTCTGAATCGAAACTAAAACATATATACAGAACTACAATACAAGGACAACATATACATAGACAAAAGTTACACAATGATCATGAGTGATCATGCATGAACACTAATCAGAACAGGTCCAGTACACTCTGCCGATTGAGCTATATAGCTATAAAGACCTATATAGCTATATACACCTATAAATTATAGCTGTATTGAGCTATATTTTCTCAGATTTCAAATTTCATTAAATTAAAGCAAAGTCGCATAAAACATTAAGGTTAATGGTAATGTTGACTACAGAAAGTATACAGTTAGATGTTTATTTTCATTTTTCATAAATGTAAAATTTCCGATTTCTTTACATCATTTTTTTTTAAAAAGAATACTTATATTTAATGTCTTTTGTTATCAACCTAATGATACAATCTTCTTTTAAATGCGACTTTGTTCCGTTTTCCTTAAAAAAGAAAATCACTTGAAAATAGCTCAAAAGACCTATTTCAGATCGGTCAATAGAGCTATTATAGGTCTTTACAGCTATATAGCTCAATCGGCAGAGTGTACTGGACCTGCAGAAAAAGGGTTTATTTAGATTCCTGTTTTCTGCCTGACAAGTATTGACATAGGTTTCTAATTCCTATAAAACAGGATCTATTATTTACAATCAAGTTGTTGGATAAAGTTAAACATATGTGTATGATTTATTTTACATCATATCACTTGACAAGTTTCAATCTTTCATCAGTATAACAAATTAGAACATCTACGGATATTTCAACATCTTGTTTCTTCCAGATCCACATTAATTAAAGTTCAGATATTAAATATAATCTCTATTTATTATTCCAGTTTTTTTATGCTGCTCAGTACCCCAAATTTTCTAGTTCGGGCTCACTTGATCCCAATGAACAAGTGATGGTAAAAATCACCACTTAAACATATAACATGAATAAAGATTGTAGAATGATTTCATTTTTTTTTCAACAGAACCGTTCAAGATCGAAATGAGATTAGCTGGGAAATGCCCTTTGCCCATTTGTTAAATAACGTGCTAGATTGTGCCATCGGTAGAGATGTCTTATTTCATTGGCCATTGGACTGTTTTGAATTTTAAAGCGAGTTGGATTTGGTAGCAGTTTGGGATTCAAAATGGTGCCATGCTACAATCATTTGTGTTTGCTCACTGCTAGTGGAAGTAGCCTATTTTTAGTTGTGTAAAATCAGACCAGGCAAATTAAGTAACCAAAACAAAAAGACAAAATGTTGCTACTTTCTTATTTATTCACTGGTTCTTCAAACCCTGTTTTATTTTCACTTAAATGATATTTACCAAAATATCATGTCACCTAAATATTTCCATAATAAAAATAATTGGTACAGCACATGGTCTATACCCAGTAGGTATTACAAGGTCAGACCATCAAATAATCGGATCTTGATTAGGCAGCCAGTTATAATTAGTCATTCAATTCTTCAAGTGTTTTTAGCTATCATTTTCTCATCAATGTTGAATAGTGTTAACCAGGATCTCTGGTTTCATAATATATCTACATTTTGATGCAAGTCTATATAGCTTGCAATCCTGATTTAGACTGGCATACCAGAAAAAGATCAAAGCCACTAGGGTTATAAATATTTACCAACTGGCAGTTACAAAGAATTAGAATAATCATTTGTTTATACAATGTATTGTTGTCAAGTTGGATTAGCAAAATTTATACAAAAGAATGATCAGGATTCAATTCATGCTTATCATACTATAGCTCGTAAGGACCAGGATGCATGCGCGCATTTACCTTTGGTCTTGTAGCATCTCTAGACTGCATTGATCCCAGGTGACCAAGAACCAGGATCATGAAGGGATTTTAAGTCAAAAACCGTAGCCAACCACAAATAACGTCATGAAAAATGATGTCATGCTTGAACGGATTGGCTAAACAAAAACTGAAATCTAAAACTGTTTCACTGGGCCAGGTAGCTCAGATGCTTTGTTTATGTCTGGAATTCGGATAGTTCTACTATATAAAAACTGTTATACAAATAGCTTATTAGATATCATGGAGTAAACCCTAGTTACTTATGATTCTTGCCTTCGGATCAACAAAAATGATTAATATATGAAAGGAAACCTCTATTTAATCATGACAATGCAGTGATGCACGGAGAACTCCTGATGGGTTATAATTAACTGTTATTTATTACAAATAGACATATTACATGTATGATAAACAATCTGCATAGTTGCAGATAAGGAAACTCATAAATAAATTAGTAAATTGCAGAACTAAATCTGTGTATTTATTACAATCTTTTGGTCTGTGATTAATTAGATGGCAGGGAAATAAATTCTTTTGGAAACTCTGTGATGACAAAAAAACTCTCAATGACAGCTGTTACACATATTTCAATGTTCTATTTCAGGAACTGGTAACCAACAAGTCAGCCCGAAGAAACAGACTGTACAGCTTTCTGTGAATGCTCCAGAGTTTGTACCGAAGTTCTCTATCCCACCGCCAAATGTTGCATTGCCACAACCCCAGGTATATATATTTTATATGTATTTTTGCATGCTTCTGCTGAAAAACTACAGTCGAACCTCGTTATCTTGAAGTCGACAGGGTCGTGAAAAAACTTCGAGTTATCTGAGTATTCAGGTTCATAAATTTGGTATGAACTTTGTTGTTTGCACATGGCACTAGCAGTTGTTGATTTTATTAATAGCCAATGGTTGTTATCAATCGATGAATGATACATGTAATCAATATAACAAATACATATATGTTATTTTACAATAAACAAGCTTACAAAAATAGAGTAAGTTATTTCCCAAACACGTACTTTGGTTTAGCGCGATCAAAACAGTTGGACCACATTGTGAATTCGTTATTAAATATGGACGGTCCTAGTTATTAAATTGTTGTTCTGTCGAGTCTAGATCTTGGCAAAGTTTTTCCAGGTCTTCATTTGTATTTGCAAGTCCTTCAAGTTTTACTTCTGAAGTGTTACATTTAAAAATTGAACTATCCCGCTGTCTCCTACCTCGTACTATACAATGCGGAAATGAAAGTGCACAAGTCTAAAACAAATCACTATATTAGAGAGTAGGCGTAGTTGATTCTGTAAATGAAAACACACACAAACGATTATATCGTACATGTAACACATTGATTTTTAAAGCCAAATGCGACACCTGGCACCTCCTCAACTCAATGTAATCAACAGCAATTATCATATTGTTCTTAAGTCTCTCGATCGACTTTCAAAGCCATACTAGCTCCTGTAAAAACATGAACCTGTAAAGCTGTCATAGGTTGTGATTTTAACTGTGGAACTCTTTTATTCATGACCATGTGTGCTTTGTGACCGATTTTCCGGTTTGCACAATCGCCTGTTTGGGTGTACATACATAATACTGTTGATTTACATTGATGAAGTTTGTTTTTTATTATGAACAACATGGTTTTGACAGTCCGCACACTTTACAGTCTGATGCTTTATCGTTAATTCTTTTTAACGATTTCATGCTAGTCTACTCACGAAAGTTGTTCATAAACACGGAATGGTGAAATGCCGTAGCTTTGTGTTTTATTTGTATCAAAGAATTAATAAGTGACAAAATGAAATTTGAACACTATGAAGTAGACGATGTTTTGATGTTGGATTCATGCTGTCGAAACCAATATCTTACTTCGAGGTATCCAAGTTTTTCGACTTTTCAGGGTTCGAATTATCAGAGTTTTATTTACTAAGATAAAGAAGAGGTTTGGCCGGGACCGAAGAAATACTTCAATATAAACTGGGTCTTCGAGTTAAAAGAGTTCCAGATAACGAGGTTCGACTGTAGTACATATGTCATGTTTACTAGTGATGGGCAATCGGTTTAAAATCATAATCGATAATAAGTGTGTAATCGGAAGTAGTAAACCGATGAATGATCGATTGCATAATCAGTTCATAATTTAATGGGACTGAATCGAACACCCAAATAAAGTGAGAACACTACCATAAATAACATCAACAGAGTTATTAACTATACTCTAGGTGTCATTCTTTTATAATGAATGGATTGCAAGCAGTTTTTATGTAGTTTTATCAATCATATAGTAAAAATCTTAAGAAAGTATAACTTCAATACATTTTTTACATTGAAAACATTTAACATGTTGATTTTAATGAAGAACCGATGATATCGATAATGGAATTTGTAATCGATAATTGGAAAGGACAAACTGGTCAATTTTCGATTATAATCAAAACTCACTCAGCCCATCACTATTGTCTACAAAGGTAAAATTATTACTAGGGTTTTAATACCAAGTGATATGTGTATTCATTTTATGATGTCCATCATTGTGTATACCATGAAACTTTAGTGGTTTGACTATATTCACCGTTATAGAGAACAGTGAGTAAATATATTTCATACTTGGGAATAGTTCATGTCATAAAATTTAAGGTGTTTGTTCTGTTAGAGAACAGTGCAACTTTTAATGAATTCATTATTAACATTTTCAAAAATCTTCGACTCTTTCCATCACTTTAGTGCCAGTTCTATATTTCTACAACAAGGGTGCTGGTCTTGTTGAAGTTAGATTTGTGTCAGTAGTGAGCACATCATTTTCCTTTATATATATACTGAAAGAAAACCATTTCCAATTTCAATGGTTCAGAATACAATTGCAGTAAGTGTATTTTTATATTTCCTTTCAGCTTATTACACTTCAAAAATGTTTTGTCAAAACTTGTATAGAAATTCATTAGGGATTTACTGGTTAATAAACATGAAAAACTCATTTTTTGTTCATTCATCAGTCAGTTTGTATTTTTTACCACTGATCATAAAAAGTCGATCTCATTCCAAACACTACTCAATGGTATTGTTTTTTCAGGCGGGTCAAGGGGATGGTTTAATGAAGCCTAATCTGTCCGTCACAGCAGCAGAATTTGTTCCCAGAGGTCAACCAGCTTACACACATGTGCAGGTAGTGTCTTGTCTGTGGCACTTACTTGACCACATGTGGTACAACGAGTTCTTCATCTGGTCACCATGGCACAAATTTGTCTGCAGTTTGAATTGCTTGGATTGGAAAATCCTGCTGTGTCGCAAACAGTTCTTCAAATTCATATTTAGCTGTTATATAAGGTCATGCATTTGCAGCAATTTTGTTTAAATTACACATAATCGGTCAGTATACATATGCTTGTTAGAGTCAAGTATATCCTTTATTGACTATTTCTGTGTAATCAAAAACAAATATGTTTACAGAATAGAGTCTTGTTTAGATGTATGTTAAGTTTACTTTTATTTCTGGGTATCAATATAATTTGACATCAAAAAAGCATTATTCAAAAATTATTAAACAAGCAAATTAATAAGCTTATCACCCCCACACCCCCTCAAAAGAAAGTGAGAAAAAAAATTGCCACACACACACAAAAATTGTGTAAAATACATTAAGTCATATTTCTCAAAACTTGGGCTAAATAGTTGATTCATGTTTCAAGCCAAACCTTTTGCACTTGTTATAACAAAGAATATTTTAGTTTTTCAATATAACAAAGAATATTTTAGTTTTTCAATATTCATGTTATATCTAGACAGCCCTAATTGGCTTCGTACAGCATTTTCATTTTTCCAATTTAAAAAAAAACACTTGACAAATATTGACCAGATATATACTTCATTTAGTATTTCAGCAATCAGACTTGTGGTAGAGCTATGATGGATGAAATAGAATAATGGTTTTCCAGAAATCATAGATATTGTGAACACACTTTATGGAGGAAGTTAGAATAATAATTAAGTAAAATATTATTTTGAACAACTATCTCATTGTCCTATATTAACATGAAGTTTTAATTTATTACACAGAACAACTTGTTTGAGGACTTCCAAAGACTTGTGAGCATCACCCCATCACATGTTAGTGCGCCAGCATCGAAGCCTTCATCAGATAAAGTCATCAATGGTTTAAAGTCCATGCTGTTCAACATGACCATCCAGCCTGGAAACATAGAGGAATATCTCAGCTCCATAGTCAATATCATGAAGAACGTCACAGATGAGACTGTAGTCCGTGAAGTCATAGAAATTCTTTTTGAGCAGGTTAGACTTTGAAGAGACATTGCTGTTTACTTTCAATACACATTGTTAATTCTTATACCACTTAGCTGTGCTAGCTGTCATTTAGGTTGTCATTGAGCTGAATACCTTAATTCCAATCCACTAATGATGAAAGATGGGCCTGGAAGCCAAGACAGAATAATATATTGATCACTTAACTATGCCAAGCAAAGGTGTTCTGTATTGGCAGAATAAAGCATAATACAACGCCATGGCAATCTGTTTGATAATAATTGAAGGAAGTTATGCACATGTTAATAACCACTGAACTACTATGCAAAAGTTGTTTCCATACTTAATAAAGTGGCACATCGTTCTACTACAACCTTGTACCTAATTTCACAGGATGACACCCATTTGTTATGAAGGACCCTAAAACAGGTCAAGGTCATAATTAAATTCAAATTTACATGTGAGTTATGTACTTCTTTGATTTTTATACTCATAGATTTGTCATCAGGCTTACTGAATTTCTAAAAATACTCAATTTTTACAGGATGGCATGCATAGTTTTTAGCACACCTGGCCCAAAGGGCAACTTTCAAACAACAATATCTTAAGAACCGTTTAAAAGATGTTAATATGTCTGGTGTTCTAGTTGCCAAATTTGGTCAAAAGTTACCTATATGTCAGTTAAATGCAACAAAAGAAACAGGTGATTGATACAGGCCCTCTTGGCCTCTTGTTAGTAATACAGGGGAAAAGGAGTCCTAATAACGAAATGCAGATTGCACACTATCCATGTATGTGAAACACAAGTCAAGTAGAACAATCATCTCCATTCTACCATATTCACATACGCGTTATTGCTGTTTAATTATTCCCGGTCGATTATATAAAAATGTCATTTTGTTTGCTCATTTCAGTGTGTAACAGAACCAAATTTTCGCTATACTGGAGCAAGAGTCTGCAAGCACATGGCTAAAGAACTGAAACATGTTAGGGTGTTTGCTAATTTTAGGAACTTATTCCTCACCAGGTAAGTGTTGTATTGCATGAATCTAAAGACTAAATCTCTCAAAAAAAATTCTGAAGAGTTACAGTTTAGAAATATAGCAACATTTCTGAAATACATTTCTGAGTTTTGATGACATTGTCTGATACGCTGATGTTAGATTATAAAAATAAACTAATAACTTGAAATTGGTAAAGTGCTGAATGGTTCTTTCTTGTATTGTAATGTGGATGATTTTGTTAATAATTAATGTGGTGGTGGTGGGGGGGGNCATCTATTTTGCCAGATGTAAAGAAGATTATCTAAAGAAGGATGACTGGGCAATGAGTGCTGAAACCATCCCTAGGTTGTGTGGATTCACAATGTTTATTGGAGAGCTGTTTCTTAATCTGGAGGTTTGCTTCTCAATAGCTTACAACCACTTGCTTGTTTTTCTTAGTGTTAAATAGTAAATTTAAATTCATCATTCCATGCTTAAGTGGTCCACGAAAAAGCCTTCCAGTGCTCGTCTAAGCCAGGATATATAGTTACAATATGCTTGTCTGGTCTATGACGAAGTTGGGCCATGTTTGTCTAGAGCATAGAAAAAGCTATGTTGATGAACTATACTGTAGAAATAATAATAGAAATATCCTCATTTGGTAATATCTAAAAGGAACAAATATTATTGAAACAAATTCAATTATTGAGTGATTGATTTTGTTTGATATTTAGTTTGAATACAAACTATGGTTATTGCACACGTATGTGCATACGTTGACGTATGCCGAAATATTATTGCATTTGCAATTGACAACAAAAAAGGATCTACAAATATACATTTGCTTACAATATCTACATAAGCATACTCTTTCATACACACTAATAACTCTCATACAGTTCTTATTATAATTATATATATCTGATATACTATACCTACAATATTATATATGATACACACTTAATCCTACAGTATCTATATATTACAAGCTAAATCCTACAGTCTCTGTAGCTTGTCAAACGGTGAACGAGTTACAAAGTTCCATGTACACAATCTCCCTCAATCCGATGACACAGTGCAGCACAATGCATATGGTCTCCACACCACAATGAGATGTTCCGTATCCGGCTGATGACGTATAGCTGAGCTGTATCTCAGTTGCTGTAGTCCCCGGTCGGAATAACCAATGTCCTCATATGTCACTACCGGGTCACCAAACCGCAGTATGCGTAATCAACTCCCGGCTTACAATAGAGTGATAAGTCTCTACCAACAGGTATTATATATATACCCTCTCAGGATAATCCTATCCCCTAAACATGAGAGTCAAGACACGACACTGGTGTCTCATGGAATCCGTAGATTATCAAGTGGAGTCGCTCTGTCGGCCATACTGGGCTTCCATACTTTCACCTCTAGGACAAACTGAGAGTTTGTACTGGTTTACAAATATATAAATAATAATAACTAAGCTAGTCTACACTATCATAAGTTATATCTATAATATACACTTGCAATTAAATAGAATATTACAGATGATATATCACACAGCAATAACACGTACGTATGTCAACACACCGCTCACGTTCATACAAGTACCTATGCACTAATTATGACAATTACATTGTTGTTATCATAACCTAACCACTAAATAAACATTGTAGCACACAAACACACTGACCACCGTACACGTATATCTCGCACCTGTTTACTATAGTTATAGAAATACTATTAATTATACCACTAAACATTCACAGAATCAACAAACTTACACACAAGATACATACATATTTATCAGCTACTTAATAATGACTTACTGTGAGCTGCATTTCACGCTATTTCCATTTTTTCCTTTGCCCACGAGATTCAAATACTTTCCTATTAGAGTTCCTACAAACTATACTTACCATACCTTAAATGTCGACATGTGACACCAACTAGAGGAGTAAACATACATAATTATTGATAAAGTTTTAATTAAATAAATAGTGGGTGTGATTAAATAGTAGGCTCCTTTACAACAAATGGTACCAACACTTTATAAGTCCACAGACAGTAGCAACTCACCACAATCCAAACCGACAACCTCAACATTTTCTTTTACAGGTTGATAATCCAGATGGCACCTCAGAGAAGATTGGTGTATTGAGATTTGTTCTGCGTGATCTTCTGTTAGCCCTCTTATCAAATCCAAATGACACAACAGTCAAGTCTGTAACACAGCTCTTAAAGGTAATTCAGAAATTATATTATCTATGTATGCTGCAAATCAACTTATCATATACTACTCACATTTTGCTAAGGATCACCTATATTTTGGAGAGAAAAAAATCAAAATGTTGGAAAGGATATTATATTTTTCTTCCGTACTGTTTTGGGCGAATTTGTTAGCTTTCCAAATTATCCTGTGTGGGTGTGTTCAGTCAACCATAAAAGCGTGTGCAAGCTTGTTGAAATTGTTAAGGAAATCAATTGATGAATATTTTTTGTGTGTTTTTGTTTCAATATGGCACATAGACGAACCAGACAACGGTTAAATGAAGGTAAAATGAATAGGGGCATCAGAATGCTGCAAGCAAGCATGTCTCAACGTCTGGTTGCAGCAGACTTAAGGGAGTCTCAAAGTGTGGTGGCAAGAATGTGAAATCGTTTCCAAATTAACGGAAATCCTCCCAGACGTCATGCTGGAGGTCGTTCTAGGGCTACAACGCAGCGCCAAGACCGATTTTTGCCGTTTTCAGACTGCCACAGCTTTACAAAATGACCTCCTAAATGCTTCTGGTACCCGGTCAGCCACTCAGACAGTTAGGAACCGTCTTCATGATGCTGGTTTAAGGTCACGTAGACCAGCAATACGAGTTCCCTTAACTGCCCGCTATGTTAGGGACCAATTAGATTGGGCCCAAGCTCACAGCACTTGGACCCTTCAGGAATGGGAACCGGTTCTTTTTACTTACTAGTCCAGATTCTGTCTCGACTTCACCGACAGGGGCGTTAGAGTATGGAGACAACCTGGGGAGAGATTCCAGGCAGGTAACGTTGTGGAACATGACCAATATGGCGGAGGTTCAGTGATGGTGTGGGGAGGCATAAGCCTTTGTGGGAAAACTGAACTCCATGTCTACCATAATGGTACCGTTCGGCCAAGATGGACTGCGATGATATCCTTGATGCCTATGTCAGACCCTACGCTATCGCTATCGGCCCTGACTTCATCCTTATGGACGATAATGCTAGGCCACAGAGCAAGGGTGACTGAGCAGTATCTACAGCTAGAGGCGTCGCGATTCACTTGTACCACGATTATTTATGTTTGGATTGATTCACGATATATTTTTTCCCGATTTGCGATGCGTCACGATCTGAATATTAGTGTATGCTGCTTCAGCCGAAACGTCTGTGAAACGTGCAATTTCATTGTCTGATCTCCAAACACTCAACCAATCTGCTGCAAGGATGAAATTTTCACAAAGAACCAATCTGCTGCAAGGATGAAATTTTCACAAAGCATTCATACCATCAAAATTTGATGCTCTGGCAAGCTTCAAATCAAAAGTGTGGAAACACTGCGGGTTTCCGTGTATCGACGGCTTAAATATCTCATTTTGTTAATATTTTAAAATAAAGGTGTATGGAATCCAAATAATCGAATCGTGGGTAAAGTGTATCGTGACAGCTCTATCTACAGCCAACGAATGGATTGGCCAGCCCGCTCGCCGGATCTAAATACCATCGAGCATGTGTGGGACATGCTGCAGACAGCTTAATGTCGCAGACGTTGTGAAGCTGTAATTGATGGTCATGGGCGTCACACTCGATACTAAAACAGTTTCTGTTCATTTAGGATGAGTTTTGTTCAATTGAAGTTTTGTAGTGAATACCTCGTTGTTATCAATTTTAAGGTTAACCCTTTTCCTGTGGCTTATTTTCCAACTGTAATTACGATTTTTTGAATTTTTGCATGCTGATGAATTAAAAGAACAATAATATTTTAAAAAATAATCTCAGTATAAACCAAATGAAATATTTATTTTCACATATGCCCAAAATTAACAGTGATCCTTAGCAAAATGTGAGTAGTATATATACATTTTATATGCTCAACCATTTTAATAATATATAAATTTGAAACAATTTCTGTGAAACTAAGTCGGAAATAACTTGTTTCTACTTTTAGCTAACTGGTTCAACAATAGAAGATACTGCTCATTTAAATGACAAACCGGAGGAGAGAGATTATAGCAAGGTCTTTCTACACTTACAAGAGTTAAACATGTCCCGAGATCTTAATCAGTAAGTATATTTATGTGTGAATTTTTTCCGTCTGCATGTATTTCAAATATTTGAAGTATCAAAACTAAACAATAACCGCACTTGAAAGATACCTTGACTGTCTTTGTAATGTGACCATCTCTGAATCTCATCAATATAAATGTTATAAATAAAACTAAACTAAAATCTCTGAAATGAAAGTGGTTATAAAATGTGTATGTGCAATAACATGTTGACCTTAAAGTTTCCGAAATGTACTTTCAGTAACATTTTGGCTTTACTCTAGAATTATAGAGCCAATAAGAAATGCGTAAAAAATTATAGTTGATTCTAATAAATGCTTTAATAATTATTTTCAGAACTTCACATCTGTTGATTAAGTCAGTTTTAAATCTTAAAGAAAATAATTGGGGGAGGGAGTCAACCTCTTCCAGCTCCTCCCAGCCTGACAGCCATTCTCAGTCATACAACCAGGGCTTTGCCACGGTAAGATTGGCATTAAGTCATCAATACCAACATTTAACATGTATGTTAATTAATGACCCCTCTGCCATGTTATTCAGTGAATTTAAAATATATTTTGCATATGAGTTTGTGTAAAATGTCCTAATGTGACATCTTAAATTGATTATATAATGACATCACTCGCAGACTTCTAAATCATATTATTACATCACAAAGGAGCCAATAGATAAAAAGGGAAAATGGCAAAATTAACATGTCTTCTCTTTAAATACAACATTCAGAAGAAGAAAAGTTGATACAGATGTAATGCGATACAACTGTATCCATTTCATATAAGACTTCTAAAACTTGTCACCAAATTTTCTTTTTAGCTTTAACAGAGGCACCCTCAAATGAAAACTTTGAAATACATTGATAATATAGCATGAAAACATAAATTCTATATGTATAAAGTCATGGAAGAAAATTATATTTAAGATATTTTACTTACGTATATTTATTGAAGAATTATTTATTTCAGATATAAAATTTACAAATAAATACATGTTCTGTATACATGATTATATTCACAGCAATTTTATTCAACACAGCAATTAATAAAATTATTTAAAGAATCTTACTATCATCCCTTTGGAACAAAATAAATGAGAGGACATTGGGTTTTGGACAAGCCAGGTAATCCTTGTCTTACATTATACACTATAATCAGTTAGCATGTAGAGGAGGAGTAAGAGTGTTGACTAAAACTTTTAAATTGTTTTATGAACAGAATGAACCAGTATTCTATAACCAGCAAGGGCAGACAATAACACGTGAAGAGGCAGGTTACTATGACGACTACACAGACTACATGCTGGAACAGGAAGCAGAAGCTTATGCCTACATGCAGGCTGGAGACACTGGATATCAGGGCAATTATCAGGGCAACATAAACAATTATAACCCCAACCACGGTCGAAGTCATAATGGAAACAACTACCATCAACAAAATCCATCAGACTACCAGGCATGGTCATCAAATCCCGATGATCTAGCATATGAAGAAGACTATAGATATACAAAGTGAGTGTGATGTGTCAAAAGATGTTAAAATCCACTAATTGACTAAAACCAGCTAGGGCAGGCAATAACGCATGAAGAGACCTGTTTTTCTAGAGATGTCTAGACAAAACACAATCATGTACCAGAATTTGTCCAAAGATCTGCCCCCACCCTTGATAACATATTCCCAGTGCCATAGCTTGGAAACATTTTCAGTTTCCACTGTATACACATTTACAATTGCTGGACCTAAAGAGACGAATGCAGTCATGCAACCATGATTACTGTAGGGGTTGTGCAATCCCCTTGGGACTTGGTCTTTGTGTCATAACTTTGGAAACAGTTGAGATCCCAACCCTATAACCATGTATGAACATGCAGTTGCTGGGCATGAAGAAATGTGTGCACACATTCATGTCAAAAAGATGAGCTTAGGGGTCTGGCCCTGCCACTTCATGGTCAGTCCAAGGGTCATAACACGGAAACGATTGAGATCCTTTCCATAATTACACATATAGACAGATCTTAACCAAATTTTCAATTAATTAACCTTAATCGTTGGGGCTTAAGTATCAGACAATATAAGGCTGCTTTTAGACTAGACCATAAAGTGGGTATATTGTATGTTTAAGTATTTTAAAAAGCTATTCCCGCAGTTAAATAAAATTTAATACAAGGCAACCTAGTGACCATATAATCTAATGTTAAAGGAATGATGTTGTCCTACTGGATGCTGAGAAACAGACAAAATTTGAAAATATTTGCAATGTCACATTTAATGAAAATAATTTGCCATGACGGCTTAAAGATTCAGATGTGCGACACACAACCTCTTCGTTAGTTGTAACATCTATGTGATCTATATATGTAACAAGATCAATTTTAAATCAGATTAACTCTACAGGGAAAATCTCTGGGCTACAAAAATTTGAAGTAATTATAAGAATAATTTGAGGTTCTTATATACCACTTTATCACAATCTAGTTCATAGGTCGTCTCAAAGCTGTTCACAAAATATTATCCGTGGTTATTGGGCCTTTGCAACCACCTAATATCCTTCTCAACTTCCTGGGGAATATACAGCCGGTGCTGCCAGCTATCATTCTACAATTCTAGCACTGCCTTACCACATACTCATTTACAGCTGAGTAGACTGGAACAAGCGGAGTAAAGTATCTTGCTCAAAGATACGACACAGTGCTGGGCTCGTGACTCGAACCTGCAACCCTCCTGTCATAAGCCCGGCGTCCTACCACTAGACTACAATGCTTCCAGTAGTATAAAGTCTAAACATTTTTTTTAGAATAATGTTGATGCCTCTTTGCTTTTCATTATTACATGTTGTGTTTTCATCTTCAGCGTGGCAAACTATGAGGAAAATTACATGGATGATGAGATGGAGGCAGCTTATGAGGAGTTCTTGCGTGGCCAGAATCAAGGTCACCGATGACATCCCAAGGACATTTCTATTTAATTATAATAGGAACAATACAATGGTACTGTGTGATAGTCGGACATCATTTTTGTAAAGAGCAGCAGTTCATTCTTGTAAAGAGCAGCAGTGTTGTGATAGAATCCAAGCATGGGTCAGAACAGGACATAACACATTGGAGCAGATCATTTCACGGTTGAATGACTCTGCACTCGATTTCAAAGAAACATATTTGAGCATGGGAAAGAAAGACTTCATTATAAGATTTAGATTTACACTCAAAAAAAAAATATGTGTATACTTTTTGTGTTGTGACTACAATAGAATGAGCAAGTAATTATAACTTCGGAAGAATCATTGAACAGTATCTGTCCTGTATCAGTTTTTATAATGGCAGCAATTTCAGTTAACAAGGTATATAAGGGGGCCATACTTCCTGATGTCAGGATCCAGTAAATACAAATTGGTTGGATGAAAAATGACTTCCCATCAATAATATTGGATATTCTTTAAAGTGGTCAGTAAATTGTTAACCAATGTGCCAACTTATTCTGTAAAGTGATAGAAAAGTTTGTACATTTTCTTTGAAAAGAAAAGATAAACATGTACTTCGTTTTTTGTGGTTCAATTCAGAATAATTACTGGAGCAGTTGACATGTATTATCTGGGACTTTTTGCTATTATTGTGTCGGACTGTCACACAAAGCACATTTGTGAATATTTATACAATTGGTAAACTGAACCATTTAATATCCTCATATATATGTCTGATACATTTGATAATTATTCATACTTTCCAGATTGAATGTTATTCAAAAATTTATACAATTTGATGAATATTCAATCATTTGTCCGTCAGACTAAATGGATACAGCATGATGGAATGGATGTTATGTCAATTAAAAAAAAAAAGAGAGTCGGGGGAAAAATGGTGTGAAAGGGAGAAAAATGACTTCCATTTGATCCTGTTGCTAAAAACTGATACTTAAAACTATTTTTGTATAATTTGTGTCTGACATGTAACAATACCTGCTATGTGCATATTGCTTATTTGGTTACTATGTAAACTGTAAATGAATGCCCTGAGTTGACTGAAACCAGAACAAGATAGGGTTATTACAATCCTGTTACCTCAAAACAGGTCATCCCTTAGCACTGCTAAAAATAATAACAGAATTTCCATGAAGTCCATGACTCATATTTTTTCACCAATCAGAGAGGCAAGTTGTCGACGGCCAGGTTCCGTCTGTTTTTTAAGATGATAAGGTACACTGAAACATTTCACTAACGAGAAAAATCTGAATTTCTGAAGGGTTAACAGAACTGAATCAAGCTTTTGTAACATACTCTAATGATAAAAATGAAATAAAAAGGAAACCAAATCGGCTTTTAGAGTAAACTGCACATGATTGTGACGTGTCATACAGCTTCAGCATTGTTGACTGTTTTAAGTTAAAAGAAGGATTTGGCAACCCTTAAGTTTTGATATTCCTCGAGTGGGAAGCTGAGGGAAATATCACTTTTCTTGACTAGACAAGTCCTTCTTTTAATCCAAAACAATCGACAATTGTATCGTGGTGTATTGTAACAATGAATTGTAGTGTACTGTAACAGTGTACCCTAGTTTATTGGAATGATAAATTGAAGTGTTCTACAACCTAGAACTATACTGCTGATATATACACCGTATAACAGTGTACTGTCGTGTTGAACTTCAGTTTATTGGTGTACAGTAATGGTTTGCTGTAGTGTAATAAAGTGCATCCTTAATACTCCAGGGGTAACATTCACTTTCACTATCTGCAACCCTGGAATATGTCAAAGCAAAATTGAAGGCAGCCAGCTAGCTACTAGATTGGTCTTCGGTATAAAAAAACAACACCTGACCAATGGCTAGGCTGATTCTAGCCCAAGTTTCCTCTGGCCCCGACACCAGACTTGGACATTTGGTCTGGTTTGACATCTATCAGTCAAAATGACTTGCTCTGGTATCGGGTCTGTAGGAAACTCCGGCTAGGCTGATACCTTGGCCTTTGAAGTATACGGAGGAGTGACTCCCGACTTTAAAGGCAGACGATTTGACCATTATGTGACCGAGAGATTCTTTTGATGTACGTCAAATGATCAAACTAATAAGTAGTCTTCTTGTCTCATCCAAAATGTGGTGCACATTGAGCCTCCTTTTTTGTCATGACATATTCCAAGGGTGCAGTAAGCGAAGGTGAGCGTAATCCCCGGAGTATCGAGGATAACTAATAATAGATAGAAGTAGACTGTTACATTGCACTGTTAATTAAAGTTACATGTAAAATGTAGTGAACTGTAAAATTGAACTTCAGTGTAATGATGAAGTATTATTGTTACGGTGAACTAGAGTTACTGTTATGGTGAACTACAGTGTATTATTGTGCAATCTGTTAAAAAATGGACATTATATATGCATTCAAATTTTTCTAATTCTTTCTATTATTGCATTTAGGAGAGCATGAATCCCCCGGAATCTCAGAGATGTGTTTTGATTATGGCTACCGTTTTTGATTATACAATAGCAGATATGTCAATAGTGCCAGTAGTTGATGCGTTAAAATTGTGAATATGGTTAACACGTTTAAAAGTGTTGAGAGATGTAAACATCTCTTAGCATTTGAAAGAAAAACATATTTACAATATGCAGCATTGAAAATATTAGTGCTAAAACAAAATCCCTGTTTCAATTAAGTTAAAAATTGCAGTACTTGTGTTTGTAAATACTGTACATGTTTTGTTGCATTATGCAGAAACACTAGTACAGAATCAGATAGGCCATCAACATAAAATATTTATAATTTATTGCTCATGTCCGCAATCATTCTCTTGTAAAAACACATACTTTTTCTCCAATTTTGTCCAAGTGCTAGCAATCAGTGCATTTAAATAAAAGATGCTCACATCCTTTAAAATGTGTGTGTAAGGAACATGACATTAAAAAAAATAATAAAATTTCCTATTAAATGAGTTCATGGTGTATTTTGCTCATCTTTCATACATGTAATATTTACCACTGGTACCCTCTTTCACCTGTTTAAGGTGAGGCTACGAATAAGTTCCCTTTTTAGCTCATCTGGTGAGCTTCTGCCAAGGCACAGCATCCGTCGCCTGTTTTGTCAACTTTTTTTTTTAAATGCTACTAGTCCTGAACGGCCGAGTGGATTTTGACTTAATTTGGTCTGGAGTATCTTTGAGCAGAGGGGATTCAATTTGGTGTAGACACCTTGTGGCAAGAGGGACAGGGCCCCATAGGGGAATTTAAGGTAAATCTTTAAAACCATTCTTCTGTCCAAATGGAGGGAATTTAACAAAACTTTGACTAGAATTTTTCTGAGCAAAGGGGACTTAATTTTGTACAAAGAATGGGGGCAGAAGGGCCCAATAAAGGGGAACATGGGTATAAATGTTTAAAATCCTTCTTCTGTATGAATGGAGGGATTTTGACTGTAATTGGTATAGAGCATCCTTGGGCAAAGGGGTCTCAAAATTTCGTAAATGAATAATGTGGTCGCCATGGGGGGGGGGGGGGGGGGAAGAAAGAATACAATTCTTTTGTATTTCTTTTGTATTTGTGGCAAAATTTTAACCAAATAAGGTATAGAGCATCCTTGGGCAAAACGGACTCAATTTTGTATAAACAAAAGATGTGGTCCCAAAGGGGGCATAGGGACATGGCCCAATGTCAAAGGTAGATGTAAATCTTACAATCCTTTTTGTTCCGTACAGAAGAAGGGATCTAAACCAAATTGATATTGAGTACCTTGGCCCAATACTTTTTTTCAATGTGGTCTATTATTTTTTTAGGAATTGATGAAATAATATCTCAAGTTGTTTGAAGGTGTTTGCAATGATTCAAAACCGCAACATGTATGTACTTGATTCAGTTGTTCACTGCCTTCTCTACAAAGCTGTTCTGAATTGAAATTGATTCTTTCTAAAGTAACAACTAATGAACCCTTGAATATGATGTGGTCGTGCTGTGGGACCAGCAAGATAACAATTAGCCCCGTCAATTATCTTGACCTGATCCTGGTTTCTTGAATCATATCTTGTCTGGACCATAACCTGTAAACGGTTATGACATGTATTGGTACTTACATCAGTGATAACTCACAGCAAGTGTGCAATACACTGTGTTTAGGCCAAAATGGCCTTCATCACTGATCCACATCAAGTAAGTACCAACTCAGTGAAACCCTCTGTGGGCTTAAAAAAGTTTAAAATTGGGAGGCAGCTGGAATGGTACCTGCACCACCCACAAAAGGTGTACAATGCATTAAGTCACCATTCCCCTTCACCTCTCAAAGGTGAAATACACAAAAATAGACAAACAAATCGCTGATGTACTACATAGTCATTAACAAAACCATTTCCCCCCTTTAACCACAGGATACTTGATATTGACTGAATATAAAAAGTTAATTATAATGTTAGCCCACCTGTTTTCTACCCATTAACTTATTCTATAAATGACTACTTATTAAACACCGAGTCATGCAACTGCAACACATCCTTCATATTCCAGGGGTTCAACACAGTTAAAGGCTCTTTACCTGCCATTAATTTGTGGATGAAACAATAATATACAACATTGAAATAGTGCCCCATCTAGCTAACATAAGCCACTCTAAAGCACTTTACAGTACATAGATAAACAATTAATACAATAAGCATATACATTAATCAATACAATTTTATACTCCTGGGTTCTGGGAGTTGTGTGGACAGGAGAAAGCCTGGAATGCCGGAGTTTTAACCACCCGACCAATCTGCCAATAAACATATCAAGAGAATTGTAAGTCAATGAAATAGTAAAATTGATCGGCATGAAGCAGTGTGTTGCTCAGTCCTCTGTAATGTTCAAAGGACAGGCATGAGCCTAGCGATTGCTCATTTTTTATACATGAAACTAATTAGGTGGGTAACTGCATGCATTTGATTTTGCCATAGCAGGACCCTGGAAAGTCGAGTGAAACATGATTTGGTGGGAAAACATCTTTTTCTAAAGAACCATGATGCCTATTGCGCAGTGTTACAAAGTTTGTGAAAAGTAAATATACCTTGACACAATAATAGACACGTGTACCCTCTTCAACACACAATCTGTTTCGTGCATATCATTACAGTCTCACTACATATTTTCGTCCTCGAAATACTTACCATTGTGCACTTTGAATAGGGTTAAATGAAGTTCGGTCATTCTTGAAAAATGCTTCCTGGTCTGCTCTCATGTTTATATGATGGGAGTATAAATTCTTATGGGAAAGAACGCTTGAATTCTGCAAATAAAACGTGTCATTGAAATTCCTACTTTCACTTTCTTTTCACCGTTATTCTAGATAACTAGGATCAAAATTATTGAAATGCTCCAATGACCTTTCATAATTGTTGTAAAATGAATAAAGTTTATAGTTTTATTATTATATCTGCTTTTTGTCAACATTGTTGTGAATCATTCCGGATAAAGACTCGAAAATCGCCCTAAACGACGTGCATATATGGAATAGGTCCTTGTTGTGATCTTTTCACCTATTTGACCACAATGACCTTCGATCGTTCGCAATGCTTTGTATGCTAGGGCACTGTCATCCGTATCTTATTTGAAAATATGTTAAAATATAAAATAGTCAGCCTACCCTACTCTATTGTAGGGTAGACAGATCGACTATTTTATATTTTAACGTATTTACATACCAGATACAGGGGCCTTTAGCTAGAGCTTCTAGAAACGCAGCTTGGAAGCAATCTGATTAGAATACAGATCCTCATTATATTATCGTTCTACTAACGATATTATGTTGAGGAGATGTATTTTATTACTCTTGGTTAAAGTTTTCCACGTCCCATATGACAGTTCTACTATCCGACAACACTCGCATACGGAACTACCTCACCATGTGAACAAAACCAGTGGCGTAGCAAATCATTTTTCGGAGTGTATGCTAACAGAGGCAGAGAGGGGTCAGGCGCCAGAGGAGCTTGAACAAAATAGAATTCTACTAGGCCCTAAAAGCAATCTATCGTATTCTGGGAGTCCTTTTAGTCTGACTATTAACAAGTAAAACACAACTTTTTATATGAATAATATGAAATTTTGTACTTCACAAACTTGTTTTTGATTTAGAATTCTACACAAACCTTCGAGATTTTTCAATGTTTTTATCAGACTAAAACTTTTAAGAAGATTTTTTTATTCTTTCCTTTTTACGGTTGATACCGACGGTCCATATTAATATTTAAAAAGAAGTTAATAAATATATATATATATGTATGATAACAAAACATCTTGAAAATTTTAGTGTATGCTACGCCACTAAAAACTTGCCATTGGTCAAGAACGAGGAAAATGATTGTTCCGAGGATGTCTGAAAGTTCATATCATCTTTATTTCCTCCAAATTGGAGAGCATGATACAATGATAGCAAACGAAAAATACATTATTCACAAAACGGCAACAATTGTGACATTCATACAAGTTCACAAACGTATATACATATTGTTAAATATCAGTGATATAATACTGGTTTATGTATCCAGTAAAAAAAAAATAAAAAAAAAATAATACCTTGCCTATGTTCGATTTTTTTTTACATTTTCCTTATACACTATAATTCCCCTTTTCCAGTTTCTGGGGATACATTCTTGTTTAACAAGATTGAATAAATTCTGCATATGGTAAATTACAGAGTTTCCTGCATATTTAATATGTTCATATACCAGACCTTCATGTCCGCCTGCTTTATTTGACTTCAGGTTTTTGCAAATTAGATTGATTTCACTAGAAGTAAAAATATCATTAACAAACAAGTCTTCATCAGAATGAATACTAGATTTTAACATTTTGACAATGATAGTCAAATTCTTTAGCATCGTGTTTTTTAAATATATTTTGAAAGTGTAGAGACCAACCTTTTATAATATCATGGGGATCTCTGAAAAGTTTCCCTTCATATTTCAGCTCAGCTTGTTTCACCTTCGAGGCTGATTTGTTCCTTTTGAAAAGCTGCCAGAAAAGGTTCTGGTCAAGTTCGCCCGATCTATCAATTTCAGCAAATTGGCTTTTCATACCTAAAGGATTCAAATGATTTCCTGAGTTGACGTCGAAATTCTTTTTTTCAGTTTTTATATTCAGAAAATATTCGACAATATCGTCTACGCTTTCCGGATCGTATCCACACATATCTCTTCCGTAACATTTCATTATGAAGCATTGTTAGACTTTAATCCCGGTAAGGTTTTTAATAATTTCTATATACATTTTTGGGTATACACTTATCTGCTGCTTCAAGCAAGGCCGAACATATGTCGCTATAGTAACAATCTATATCTTGGAAGGATGGATTTTCATAACGTTTTACATAACAATTATAATTACATATTACATCATTCAACGCTTTTTTCCACTTATATCTGTTACAACGTGATGTACTATCCGTAAAAGATTTGGATATACGTACTAAACAAACAATAGGACAATGTTCCGAAACATTTGCATTGTTGTCTAAAACTTTACAGTACAAGGCAAGATCTGTGGACTTTGACTCAATGAGTACATGATCAATTGCAGTTGTGTTATCCGTTGCGGGGTAAAATGTACATACAGGACCTATGCATTCAGACTGAACATTTAACGAAATCATGTTAGTTCTATCTAGAAATTGTTGGAATGACCGACACCGATTGTTTTCTGTAAACTGATATCGGTTGCCTTGTATTTTAACGTTAAGGTCACCTATTATAAACACTACCTTTCTACGAGTACACATCATGTAAATATTCTAAAATGTCAATATGTTCTTGAAAGACCTCAATAGGCCGTGAAGAAGCAGGCATATATACTGAAACCCAATATGTATATTCTCCACTAGGTGACTGTAATTCAAGCCTGACAACTCTAGGGCTGTCTATAATGATTTCTTGTACATTAAGATGCGACTTATATAACAAACACACACCACCTCTTATACTTCATTTGTAGCGGTAGGGGTCTACTTCATGAAAAGGTTTTACAATACGTTTATAACCAGAATGATTAAAACTATTGAAAAACGACAATTGGTATTCTCTCGCCCAATGTTCTGACAATCCACATATATCTATATCGTAAGTGTTGAGACAGTTAAGGAGATAAGGCATCCCGGCCATTATCCCTTCACAATTCCAGCACATGGCATTGACTATGTCACTTTTGGTCATTATGCTCATTCCAAAACACCTGTCGTGGCGTCCATGGCATCGAGTATATACCCGGAGGCCAAAAGTCAGGATTGTCAAGAACGGACGAATCTGCATCTAAAACATTCAACTGTGCGGATGCCGTGTTCTTGTACCGTTTCTCGAAGTAACGAAGGAATGCTATTTTAACACCGTTGTCTTCTAAGAAGTCTCTCATAGCGCTTTCCGATGCTGTGCATTTATTTATTCCATGTATATAGTACCTTTATACACGTTTTTGTTTTACAGGCTTAAAACCGACAAATCTGTCGCTCAGTTTTTGTTCCGACTTCTGAGTAGGGTGACACACTGATGAGGGACAGTAAACCTTGATTTGGCGAGGATTGGGGTTTGGACTTTCACTTCCAGTTTTATCTGACGTATGGTAAACCTCGCTTAGGCAAACATCAGTTGGTACTGCGATCAGATTCCGACTGAGTTGGTGAGCGGGTTGAGCGACTTTTGTTACGTCCGTAACCCGTTGACTTGATTCTGTACCTCGAGATACAGGTCGTGTTGCGAGAGCGTCAACGTGGAACCAGGGGCGGGTCCAGGTGAGGGCGTAATGGGCGTACGCCCCCTCTTTTAAAAAAAAACAAAAAAAAAAACTATCGTGATCTGCTAATATTGTATTGAATATGGCAATTTATCATATTCATTAATTAAACACATACTCCGATTTCTTTTTATACTGATTCCCCTAGTATTCATTGTTGTTGACCACGTGATATAGTGAAACCGTCAAAGATGTCGACGCCAAAACAAAAGCGTCAAAGACCTTAAAATTTCACAATTATTTTATGTTTTTTAGCAAAAAAAAGGTCCAATTTTTTTTCGCCGAGCGAAGATTTCATTCTACGCCCCCTCTTTCAGATATCCTAGAAACGCCCCTTGGAACTGATCCTCAGACTCAATCTGGGACCCTAGATCATCACCCCTCAGTGGAGAAAAGAAGTTAGACGTCTCTATTGAAATTGTGTTACTTTCTCCTTCTTTAAGATCAGATCTGTCACAGTCATTAGGTTTGACTTTCTGTTTACTCTCTTGACCTTTTGCCAGTTTAGTTATTTGTTGTTGAATGTTCTGCGAGCGATTGTTCGTTTTCCTGCAATACGTCGTCCATCCTTTGTGTTTCTTCCTCTAACGATTTTATCTTTTGAGTCACCAGTTTGACAGAATTTTTACAACTTGACACACCATTCAATTGACTGTTGTCTATTCTATTCGATATCGCTAGGAAATCCGTTATATTTTCAGCCACAGTTTTTACTTCCTTGTTGAAGTTGAACATTTTCTTTTCAGTGTTGGTTTTGAAGGTATTGTTTTTGACAATTTCTTCGTTAAGTGTGTTCATAGTTGTTTTTGTCTTTTGCCCATACTTCATGCTGTTTTTTTATTTTGGTCATGCGATTCACAAAGTTCTTTCTTCAATTTTGTTACGCGAATTTTGCACGAACTTAGTTCTTCCTACGTTTTTATTGCACGTGTTTTCGCTTTTTTCCCCCTAGTATCTGTAGCGATGCCTTCAGGAATTTTATTTCATTTTCTTTTTCTGTGATTTCATGTTTCATTGAGTTTATTGAGTTTATTGCATATCTATGTTCGCATTTCATATCGTTTATGTCCACCTGAACTTTTACAAGTAGTTCTTTTAGAATTTTGAAACCATCGGAGTCGTTTGCCGAATTGTTAAGGCAACAATTCGGCAAACGACTCCTGGTTATTATCTGGTCGTTTCCTTGATGGGATTACGTCGCTCAGTTCTTCCGTATATTCACCAAAAGTAGCCCTAAACAGAACGAAAATGTCTCTGGTTAGCTTCAATTGCACGGATTTCGCTGTTGATGTACGGGGTTCGAGGCGTTTACGAAGGTAATGTAACCCTCTTTAAGAGGAAAATCGTCGCGTTGCTTGGCCGAAACAAACATTTATTCATTTTTTAATTCGCCTCCGTTGAATCTCCTTGAGGCGTTGCGTATTCTTTTTGTTTTCTACTCTCCAGTAACTCTTCCAGTGAATGTCGGCCACATGCTCTATCTCCTTCTTAGCGTCATACAGCGTTCTTGCTTTTGACTGATGATCTGAATTTGTGAGAGTTGGAAACTAATGCTGCTCTTTCTAACCGACTCGTCTCCAATCTTTTTTTTATCTCCATTAAAGATGCAGGTCATATCCGGAGGTCGAATCACTGCAAACGAATCCATACATGATGGCTTTCTAATAGTGCTGTTTCAATATCTCAATCAGCCACAGCCTCAGCAGCTCGGCTTCCTTATGTTCTTTACAGGTTCGATTGACATTGCCTTGTACCATATATATCATTGTCATCAAAACAAAACATCAACACGTGAATGTTGACCGAAAAAAGCTCAAGAAGGGTAAACATTTCCTGTTCCTCATGTGGCGTCTCGTGTCAAATCCAGGATAGTATGCAGGCCACCAACTATTTAATACACTGCGAACAACTTCATCATGGCGGAGGGCACTGAATTAGATAACAAATGTGATGACCAATTGACCACACAGTTTCTAAAGCGTGTGTTAAAGACGCTCAGTTAGGAACGGGTCGTAATGAGTTGGAAAAGATAATATCTTCTTTTAATTTCATTACCACGGCCGTGGCTTTTGGCAAGTAAGTATATGGGATGAAATGTTATAAAGTTTCCTCATATAAATTACCTTGGCCTTCTTTCAATGTCAAATGGGTCAAATATGTAAACTTCAAAAATCATCTTAACAACCATATGGTTTAGAGCCATGCTGCTTCTTATGTACGCCTCATCCTGTGTTAAGGTCAAAGGTCAACTCTGAGCGCTGGTGGGGTTATGTTTAATTAAATGTCATCACATACGGGCTGTAATAAGGAGGGCCAATAACTTTATGGTTAATTTGTGATATACATTTCTTTCTTGGGATCCAAGAACGTATCAGACATACAGCATAGATACTGATGATGTAATATACAAGTAAAATAATAAATCACTGACGTGGATATATTGTCATTTATTGCGTCTGTAGCACAACGACGTGACAAAATTGTTAATTGATTTAAGGTCATCACTGTTATTGAAACTAATACGCGTAAAATGTACCGTCACCAATGGGATTTATAGTTCAGGTGAGGTACCATATAAGTCTACATTCTAAAGCTTTTGAACAGTGTCTCGATCTGGTCTACTTAATTAACCAATAAATAGCTTAATTAGTCTGATAAGATTTCAAACAACATATGTTTATTGCCAATGGAAGCTGGATGTAGTATCATTAAAAGAGTATGTTCTTTTTCCTCTTTAAAAGCCATACATTCAATGGTTTTTGGGTTACTATATATAAACATTCGGATTGAGCAGTATCTTGATAATTACCCTCTATGATTTTCATGTCTGGGCACTTCTTTTGGCCGTTTGTTTGCTTCTGATCAAGCTAACCAAACTTTATACACAATCCGGATTGCCGAAACAGTGCCCGTGTCCTATTTTGTCTAACTGCGATCACTTCCTTTGTTGTCGGTCTCGTCGTCTCGTCCACGCGGAAGAAAATAAACAATGTAGAAATGGCGATGACAACCGATCTAACGGCAAAAACAATTACCGGAAGCGTTAAAAATGCATTGGATAATATCGGATTCGAAGTACATCCGTTCAAGGTAACATGATGCCTCTGTATATGAAGTGACATTGGCAGATGAAACATCACCAGTTTTGACGGATATAGTCATTTGGGGGAGGGGGATGCAGTTACTCTGGTGTTAACTTTAGAATTTTACTGTACCTGCAGTGGGACATATAAAACAATAACGTTTGAGAATTATTAGGTAACTGTTAATCACCTTTATTTCGTTTTGTATATAGATGTAGATCATAAATGGACACGGCCTGCTGGCTAACTGTCTGTCAATACGCCCATGATACACGGGGGTACCAGACTTCTTCTGAAGAACCAAGGCCTGGGAGTTTTGACATCTAACTGTTCACATCCTGGGATGGATCACAAAAAGAATTGCCAAACAAACCTTTTATATATATTCAACAGGTCCAGTACACTGCCGATTGAGCTATATAGCTTAAGCTATAAAGACCTTTATAGTACATTGTAGCTATATTCACCTGTAAATTATAGCTGTATTGAGCCATTTTTTTTCTAAGGTTTCAATTTTCATTAAGTTAAAGCAAAATCGCATAAAACAATAAGGTTTATGGTAATGTTGACTACAAAAATGTTTATTTTCATTTTTCATAAATGTAAAATTTCCGATTTTACATCATTATTTTTTAAAAAGAATACTTATATTTAATGTCTTTTGTTATCAACCTAATGATAAAATCTTCTATTAAAAGCGACTTTGTTTCGTTTTCCTTAAAAAAGAAAAAATCACATGAAAATAGCTCAAAAGACCTATTTCAGATAGGTCAATAGAGCTATTACAGGTCTTTACAGCTATATAGCTCATTCGGCAGAGTGTACTGGACCTGTTCAAGGTCACATGATCAAATATATGCTAAAAACTCAATACATCTTCTGAAGAACTGAAAGCCCTGAGATAGGCTTTGAGTTTCATGGGATTGAGCCTGACAGGGTTTTCATAATAGCATAACCTTGGCTATAGGTTTGTACCCACCCCCCCCCCGTCCGTTCGTCCGTCCGAGAAGGTTGTCCGGGACATATATCTGCTATACTATTTCACCTGGAGTAACCAGCTTTGGTGTACAAGGATGTCTTGGGATGGCAGAGTGCAAAAAGAAGGTCACTTTCACCTCACTGTGACCTATGTTTTGTCCTTTGATCTTAACTTTAGAAAAAGTTTGTCCGGGGCATATCTTCTGTACAATTTCACCTGGAGTAACTAGATTTAGTGCACAATGACATCTTGTGATGGCAGTGTGCAAGAATAAGGTCACTGTGACCTATGATTTGACCTTGACTTTTGCAAATGTTTGTCCGGGGCATATCTTCTATGATATTTCACCTGCAGTAACCAGATTTGGTGTACAAGGACATCCTGAGATGGCGAAGTGCAGTGTGCAAGAATTAGGTCACTGCGATGTATGACTTGACCTATGACCTTTACTTTTGAATCAGATTTTCCTGGGCATATCTCCTATACTATTTCAATACATTCCATTATATACAGCCAGTTTAGATCATCACCATATAACCAAATATACAATTAGTGGCCATGAGGAGATGACTTCCTTCATGCTAGTAGGATTAGCCAAAAGGTCCCATCTTGCCCCAGGTATTTACATGGAAAGAGTTGAGATCCTTCCAAATAGCCATATATCAAATGGTGGGCATGAACAAATGAAAACATCCATGTCCCTTAGTGTCTTTCCTGCCCCAAGGGATTTAGACCTTGGTAAAGCTTGATTTCTTGCACTCTTTGATAAAGATTTGTCACAATCAGAAAAGAAATGAACTCTGTAAGGCGATGATGTGAAAAATTCTTTCAAACTTGAGTACTCGTCATGCGAAGGTATATAATGAAAAATTCAAGGTGATCTATTTAGGCCCCGGGCCTCTTGTTTAAAAGAACAATAGTATCAAATAACATACCATCTGACAATATGTTTAAAGAACAGCATACACTATTAACGTTTGTTTTTGTGTTGCACACTTCAGATAGGCTGGTACAATGAGTGTGTGGAGGAACCGTTTGTACTGCCATATGACTCAGAGACATTGGCTCTGTTAGTGATCAGTACCCCTCGTATGTACGACAAAGCTTTCAAACCATTCATCTGTCGCCAGCAGTGTGAAGGCATCAGAGACCCAATTGACCAGTGTATCGCACATCATTTCAAACTTGTGAAAGAGGTAAGAGAGAAAAATCAAAATTCTTTGCTAAATGTTTTATCTAAATTTCCTGAAAGTGAATGTTTCCTCAACATGTTCTAAAAAACAGTATTCTGCATTCTATGTAAAATTAATGAATTTTCAATAATTCTTGGAGTCGAATTGCAAAAACTGAGAATTTGACTTGGGGATTGCAGGCAATTGAACACTTTATGAATGTTTCAAAACATTTTGTTTTGAAGTAAAATCAGAAAATGAATTTAAACTTTGGGTGTGGATACATGTATTTGTTTTGGCTTAGCCCCCTTCTGCCTAAAAAAATTAGCTTGAGTTTCAAAATGAAAGATTACATGAAAAATGACACATGTAGACAGGATATGGTAAAACAACATAGGAAAGGTACCAGTCTGAAAATATTTCCCAATTCTACTTTTCATTATGAGTTTCTGTTTTCTTTTTGCTTACTTTTTTTTTAAATTTTCATCAGAATTTTCCTGATCTAGAAGTTGAAGCCGTGCACGATTTTGAGTTAGACCACAGACGTCGCCCTAAAATCCTTGTACAAACAGCTGGCCATGTCGCTGGTGCAGCATACTATTACCGCAGAAAGGATGTCACTCCAGACCACTGGGACGTGAAACAGGTAGGTACAGAGCATCTCCACACATTTACACTTATCCCACAAGTGCTTAAATGCCCTGGGCTGTTGATAGGATGTTGAACCCTTTACAACCAACACTCAGGTGCTGCTAAAAGCTGCCTAAAATACAACCTATTTCAAACACTTCAGTATGTTGCCTATATTAGTAGTTTTTTTCAAATAAAAAGAAATGCAAATGTACAAATGAAAGTTTAGTTTTTATATATATAGTCAGACTGCAGTAATTATTATTATACGATCAAGATAACCTCCTTCCTTCAAAGTTACAGAAATGGGTCAACAGTCAAGTCACTACAAAGCTTGTCGGAACTGTAACTACTCAACCCCAAGACATTATTTTATGAAAGTTCATAGACATGTGAACTATGACTGGACATGTGGTAAACCATACATAATTTCTTACCCGAAAGGTCACAGGAATCATCAAGGTCAAATCACTACAATACATGTCTTGACTCTTGAGCCACTTACTGAATATAAGTGTTGTGATACTTCTGTATCAAAACACAGGTCCATAACTCAGAGGTCATGGTTGCAGTTAGAGGTCAAATGTCATATCACCGTAATGCTTACGCATATAACATTTTAATTGTTGAACATGATATGATGAAACTTTATAGGCATAAGTACCATGACTAAATGGTGTGTGTACCCAAGGTCAAGGTAACTGCAGTGGGTGACTAGATTGTAACTACAGAACCACAGAACACTATTTGATGAAATGTTATAAGCATGTAGCCAGGTGTACTAGGACTTGATTGTGTGTACACATATAACCATACCCTCAATGAAGGTCACATCCATGGGGTCAAAGGTCAAATAACTGCAATGTTTGTAAAACCTTTAACTAGAGTTCATACATGTATACTATGACACAGCAAGGATGTAAAAATAAAATCACTGCAATGCTAAATAGGACAGTAATTACTAAAATTAATGAAGTCTTTTGTGACATATTAAATAATTATGGTTTGTCACGATAAGGGGATAATGTCTAATCAAGAATTTTTGTGGACTGTTACTACTGAACTGCTGAAAATTATTTGATAAACAAAATGGTCTTAGGTCTGTGCCCTAAAGGTCAAGATAACTTTATAGAGTCAAAGGTCAAACTAGTGCAATGTTTCTCAGAACTGTTAATTCAAATCATTGGACATTTTGTGCTGATACTGTTTAGGTTATATTTAGGACTGGAGGATATGTCATGTCTTGCATACAGAACTGTGTGACAAACTTCATATGAAACTGTATGTTTATAATTTGTATAATGGATGAAGCATTCTTCATAACCTTTAATTTTTTTCAGAACATCTTTGGTGTGAGTGTTCATCCTAAGTATGGAGGTTGGTTTGCCCTGAGAGGTGTTTTTATCTTTAAGTCGATCACCTGTCCAGAGTTAATCCAGATATCTCCCCCTGATGTCGTCCCTGACAGGGACAAAAGGATCGAGCTTCTGGAACGCTTCAATATGCACTGGCAGGATTGGAGCTATCGAGACATAATTCCAGTGACAGACAACTATTCAGAGGAACAAAAAGAATACTTTGCTACTAAACCAGGAGAGAGACAAGCCGTTGTCCAGTCTATAAAGGACAATGGAGGCTATGTTCATAACTCATAAGGGACTTTTATGGACTGGTACATGCATGCAGTTAAGAGATGTTACATGGTTTCCTGTTTATCATGTATTCCTTGTTCTATTTATACTGAAATCAGCTACTTTTTAAATTCTCTATACAAAATCAGTGCATGAATTGCTTTATTGGATAGATACATTTTTTTTCACATGTTCATGTCAGTTCATCTACAATAGTTCAGGTAACAAATGAATCTTGCGAGCAAGACAGGCCCAAAGGGCCTGTTATTGTTGATATGTTAAAGCTGATAACAAGAACTGCTGTTTTTGCATTAAAATGAATCTCTTTTAAAACATGCATATCAAAATACATGTATATACAAATTGAGCTTGTGTGTATATAAGAATGTGTATAAATGTAATTTATTCAAAATAAATACTATTTGTCAGAAAATATGTGTTTTACATGTTTGACAATGTGATGCAAAGCTATATTTTTGTCATTGTTTTCATGCATAGCTATACATACATCTTCTCGTACTGTTGTTTATCTTGGGTTAGTTTTATCACTTTTCTTCTATTTAGCGGACTTTTAAATGGCTTTGAAGACATATGCACTGGTAGTGTCCCATGCCTGATCCATGTTGGCCATGCTGTTGGAAGAATACCTGATAATCCCACTTTTAAATTAAAATCATCATTGCATCCATCTATATGTAATCCATTCAGGTTTGTGTGCTCTAATTGTCAGGGTGTGGAAGCTGTACTATTTGACACCGTTCTGTTCAGTCACTATGATTTATTTTTCTCTTGGATACTTGACAATATTTCTCCTGGATACTTGACAATATTTCCTTTTTCCAACATAATGTTACCAAGGACTTAATCTTTACTTACTACCTAGCTGACATAAATGTTTATAAGGACAGAAGCAGGACATTGTGGACATCTGAGTACATTAGGTAAGAGTATTGGAGAGGAACAGCAATTATCGTCAGATTTCAATTAGATTAGTGGTCAAACTACTTGGGATCATAGAATGATAAAAAGAATTAACAAAAATGATTAACTTAAAATTAATAGTTTCATTTTATTCCACAAATGACCATACTTTTATATGAACATGCTGAATGAGAACAGGTGAAAGACCAAGTATTCCCTTGACTGGGAAATTCACAGAAAATAAAAAAATAAATTTACACTTGCACATTAACATGGAAAAGTGGATTAAACCCATACACAATAAAGTACACACATTAAAAGTAAATAAATATCACAATTAGTTATTAACTCTTCAAAAAGATTTGTCTAATCTGACCCAATATCTTATCTACAACTTACAAAACCTGTACATGAACTATGGTAATATTATTTTTTATCTAAATAGTTTCGGAGTGTCAGCTTCAGTATCTTACATCTTCTACCAGGGTAAGTCCTTGGGATATGCTTCTTCAATCTCCATGACATGTTCTGATTTTTATTTGGTCCACTGGTCATTATCTTAATAAACATATTTATGTTTTAAAAACTCTTATTTTGATTTTTTTCTATAACTGGAAGATACAATTTACATATTTACTAACAATTACAACTTCATCAATACAATCAAATTGTACCAACACTGTTATATTACATTTAAACAAGAAAATAAATAGATCTTCTCAATAAATTATATAAAAATAGCAAAAACACCCATAACAACACTTGAAATAAAAGTAAAAAGATTTCTAGATCATCTCATGGGTATACCTATAAGAAATGTGCAGAAGTATTATAAATATATTTGAGCAAAAAACAAATATGGGTACAAAGTCTGTTCACACAAACGATTTAACAATGAAAAGGATTGACTTGTGAAGAGAGAAATTTTAAACATATAGAAGACTTGATTTTGTTTACATGATTGCGGTAGACATTTACAAAATGTACGATAAAATGTTCAAACAAACTGACAGTTTCTCAAAGCCGAGTGATATCACAGTGAGTTAGAAATTTCCTCTTGGTGTTAAAAGTTGAAATGTTTATCTCTTCTCAAAGTAGACATCCCGCATTTCCCGATCTCGCTGGGAGGAGTCTGGGGCTACTCGTCTCAACAGAGGAAGACGGCGAGCATCGTGCATTAGGAATGGTAAGTTGATTTCATCATTGTGTCTTGTGGACAAAATCATGCTGAAACAAGCAACATTCTATGTTATGGGATATGCTTTGGACAGTTAAGTAAACTTTTGGATTGATTGAAGAAAATTTTGTCTGTAACAGTATGTAATGGTCTGTATCATAAATACTTCAATATTTTTTTCATAAAAATTCACACTTAATAATTTTAAATGGGGTTTAAATATAATTTCAAATTACGCTGCAATAACAAAGTTTTGTTTTTAATAAAGACAGTTATGAACTTGTTAAACACATCTAAAATTTAATCACAGCATCTGTAAATTAAAACTGAAATTAGGTGAAAAACTGATTTAAAAGTGGCATGAAAAGACAGTACAAAGATGTCATCATGTGATAAAACCTGTACATAATGATAATAGGTCAAGTCAATGCCATGTGGTGACAGGTCAGTCATATGGGGTGCTGTTTTACTTTTCATTCCATGATATCACTATAATAAAATGGTGATATCACCAACGTAATAGGTGATTCACATATATCTCTATAATAAAGGGATATCCCAATCATTATATTGATATCACCAAATGATGATACTGCCTAATGATTTATGATTTTAGTAATGCCACTACTTTATTACGTCGATAACACTTCAGTGGAACTAAAAGTGAAATTGTATCCAATACAGGCTCGTTGACATGTATTCATGTAGTGGCAAAAGGTCAGTTGATGAGCATGCAATAAAGGGTCGTGGCAATACATGTATCAATATTTTTACAGTTAGCATACCAAGGTTAGGTTGTGATTTACGACCTATTAACAGCCATGGTCATTTAAGGATGAGTCAGGTTTTGGTAGTAGAGGAAAACCGGAGTACCTGGAGAATAAACACTGACCAGCTACCAGTACCTGGTGACTGCCCCAAGTAGACCTCGAACCAGTTACCCAGTACCTGCGACCCAGTGGTAGAGGACCAGTGATCGCAGACGGTCAGACGCCTTAACCATTTGGCCACTGTAGCCCCTAGCATACAATGTCTTAAAGATCAATGTTATAATTGACAAAGCTTATAAATTCAACTTGTTTCACATGTACATTGACCTTATTACCAGTAGTCTTGGAAGTTAATTAATACTAATACCTCTGTACAGCATACTTCATCACAAAAGGACAGTCTGAAATTTTAGTTAAATCATAAACCTTTCGTTACACATGAATATTTTTCACATTGTATATAAAACAGGAATATTTTATAGAGTTTCAAGATTTTTGGTAATTTTCATTCCACACCTAGTCAGTACATGTAGTAATTTTGTACATTTTAAGGCTGTGAAGAATATGTCCTAGCCCAGTTTGGATAACTATAGAAATATTTACACCATGGTTGGTCAACACACGGAGGATCTGCCTGCAGATACTGATGTAGTCAGATACTGATGTAGTCAGCCCCATTCAGATACTGATGTGGTCAGCCCCATTCAGATACTGATGTGGTCAGCCCCATTCAGATATAGATGTGGTCAGCCCCATTCAGATACTGATGTAGTCAGCCCCATTCAGATATAGATGTGGTCAGCCCCATTCAGATATAGATGTTGTCAGTCAAAGTCCATTTAATAATTAGTCACAATGAGCATGTACATTAGGAGTGTTGTGTGACTCCTGAGCTTAATATACAATCATTCAACAAAGAGCGGATCGACAGGAGAGTGCAGAACAGACAGGAAGTGATGTACAGTTGTCATGACAACCTACCTTGGCTGGTTTGCACCCCTCCCTCATGTACTATAGTACATTGTGATGGTAGAACACAGCAAACCACAGCACTCGAACAAAGTCACATTGTGCATCACATATTCACACAGCAAGTTCAAAGTTCAAATTCACAATTTGACAAAACAAGTTTGACCAAGTATTAGCAACAATCACCAAAGAAACAATGAACAGCATTTTGTGCACAGGAAAATTGACTGATATATATATATATGTGTGAATGTAATACGTTGGTGATTGATTAAAGATTGAATATAGATATTTGACATCTAAGATTATCACTTTTGCCTTCTCTTAACAATATGAAGAATTCATATGTTTTTCATTTGATGATCATACAAATTTAATTACAAAACAAAGTTTATCTGATTGAAGGAACAGTAAAATGTTATATATGTAGTAAGTATTAGACTATGACAAGTATGTTGGTATGGGTGTACTTTTGTTGAAGCAGGGAATTGGCAGGATTACACACTAATAATAGTATGTAGGGTTGAAGCTTAAACTAAAGATATACACTGACAGGTAACTAGTGTTTCATACATAGCCATGCAGGTAACAAAGGGGTAGAATTAATCAGAAATGCACCAGTAAGTAAAAGCATCATTGTATTATAACCATCTACTTATTTCCATGTAGGTCTACATTTACCAAGGAAGGTAAGGGTTATGAGTTATAAAAACACTACTTCCTGTAACTGGCAAAATTATAGTACAATGTACCATTGTTATTAGTCAGAATACAACATACACTATCATGTCATTTAAGCTAGAGGTTATCTGCAAATAAGTTATTGAAGCACATAGATAACATCACAATTTGTATGAGACATCTACACGGATTGTTTTTAGTAAAATAAAGTTCAAGATGTTATTAAAAGATTGTATTTTTTTCTTAATAAGCAACTTCGTAGGTATTAAACATCAATTAATAGCCATTTAAATATTGTTTTAATAAAAGCAGTGTAGACAGTGTAGCACTATGGTAAATCTACTGATATTAGTCGACACTACAGACTAGTTTATAGTTATACGAGGTACCTGGTAAATCGTAAATAAATTGAATATATCCAATCTGGTGCCGATTTTAAAAAGTGATCATAAAAGAAAAATTGTATAAAAAAATATAGGTAACCTTTTTTTTAAAGTGAACTGTTTAAGAAGTGAACAATCAAAACAAACAACATTGTAAAAAATATTTCAAACATAAACAGTGTATCAGATTATGTAAAGGTTTAAACTACAAACCACAACATGTAAGTGCAAATTTATGGAAGGAGAGAATTAACATACAAGATTGTACCGAGACAGGGTATAAAAACCAATCCCAACAAAGCTTTCTTAATTAGAAAAATATTTGATGCTTCTAAACAATGCATCTCTGACAAGATATAAGTATTACACTATTCCATGAAATCTTTTTTGTCATCATAATTTCCTTTTTTTTGGAGTGGTAATAATCATTCTGACAATAACATTGATGGAGACAGACTAGTGACACCTACATGTACACCATAGGTATATTTTTCTTCATTGGCAAAACAATTACAAGTATTTATAAAGAGACCGATTCAGAAAACAGTTGAATCCATTTTAGATATAAATACCTTAACAGAACTACATTAATTCATGAAATATTGACATCTTCAGCAGGTCTATATCTGTAGCATGCAGATCTATCCAAGGTCAGGCTAAAGTGATTGATTTTGTCAGGGTTTTGATAGCTGAGGGTGAAATTGTGTGGACAAAAATACATTGTTCTCTGTCTAAACCACAGGTGCTGGACACACTAATATAATGTGTATATAGTATATACACATCATATTAGTGTGTTCAGCACCTGTGGTCTAAACCAGTCTTCATTGGGGTAAAATTACCAATTTTTAGAGAATTCCAGATTGAAAAAAGATCATTCGTTTAACACATTGTAATTTGATAAAAATTGTCTTTACTAAATTATATGGTCACTTAGACTTATTTCTACAGGTTCTTATTCTAAGTATGTCTAATACTTCGTCAAATGTCATATTGTCCTTGTCTAATGGTGACAGTCAAATAGATCTACAAATTACAGAGCTACAAGTCAATTGTCGGAATTTGGCAATATTTCATGTGTTCACATTCTAAGCTACGTTAATGCCAAATGTCACTATATTAATTAAATTGCACTTAATATTACTTGATATATATCAATCACATCTAGCTTGGCAAAACACAGTTAGTGGTACAGATCTACCAGTGTATACTTCTGGACACGTGCAACAAAGGAGGATGACAAAGCGAGCCACAGCACATAGTGACAGGAGTTTGCATGGGTTATAGTTCAGTACACCCATACTTACAAGGGCATATTGCGCCTTAGCTGTTCTTCTGCACCAACAGGTAGCATAAAGTAATTAACACGCTTATTTGTACCACTCCTATCTGTGTAGTGTTCTCTGTGTTTCTGCCCAAGCTGAAACAGAAAAGGAAATGACTAGGTTTGCATATAGGTTATGTTACAATCAATTATTTCATTTGTGAACAAGACATGAAATTAAAATCGCTGAAGAAACCATACAAGAATACCAGCATATTTTTTTATTTTTTTTTTGTGTTTTGAAATTAGAATTTATAAAATTTGATAATTTTCATTAGAATATAAGATGACTACAGTAGCTCACCATTGCAATTGCTAATCATTTTAAAAGTAATTAATAAATTCTAAATATGAAATTATTACAGAAATATGACAATTACTTTATCAAATTGGTAGAGCTCTTCTTTCCTGTCATGATCTATATTTGACAGTGAATATTTTGGAGCATTTAGCCATCTGTCACGAGTTCGACTTCTGGCACTGATGACAGTCTCTGGTTTGTGGGTATAGTATGTTGGGAATTCGCCACCTTTACATAGTGGATCGGCTGAACATGACAAGGTTTTGGAACGGTAGTCCTGGAAATATTTTTGTGTTGCGTTTCCATAAGTTTCACCGTAATCATACTTTGTTGTTGGGCAATGGCCTTGATATCTTCAATGAATATAAAAAGATTAAAATAAAAAAAGGATAACAAAAACATATACAGTACATTGTATTCCCCCTTTTTTTTCGTCCATTACAAGTAGTACAAGTATAAATAGTCATCACAAATTTATAATAAATATTATAACTATTCTAATCCTCGTTAGACACTGATTCGAGGTAACAACTATGGTTTAGATGATACTCTGGTTTGTAACGCGTTTGTTTCGAATGAAAAAGACAACAACTCATATCAGCCTCTTCATGATAATTGATAACTATTTTTTCTATAAAGTCATGATCGAGCTATACGGACGAACTTGACAGTGGTCTTTGTCAAGATAAAATTATTGCTATAACATAAGGATAAGGTCGGCTAAGTTTTGTTTTTATTTTATAATATGCCGACTTTTAAAAGGCGTCTGTCATAAGCATACCAATTTAAACCTCCACCACAGTGGATAACATTGATCGAATCCAACTGTTCATCTTAGCTTTAGCAACTTGTCTACACTATTGCCAGCTGTAATATATCGAAATCTCCTCTTACTTACCCCGGCATAAACCGTGGTGGGATATAGGTGGCATTGTTCGTGGTAACTAGAGTTCCTGCTGCCCTTGACATGATGATCAGTATCTTTCAGTTTCAATCAGCCGAACAAGTTGTTTACATGCCGAACAACACCCTAGTAGTTCTACGCTGCACAAAAAGTAGTTCTCCATTTGGCGACCAATTTACATCAATATTTATCAATAGTCTTACAATTTTAGAATATAGATTAATTAGGTTATTTAATTCCAATATTTTCTTTGTAGTTTCCCGAAAAAAATCAACGTATTAGCAGTTAAAGTTTGGCGGATTGATACGAATTTCGAATAATGTCGCCACGGTAATAGTCAGGGGAAGTTACTCCGGATTGGGTGTGCGAAAATAGGTGTCGTGCTACCAATGTAGCAGAGTACCCCAATATATACTATGCAGACTCGCAAAACTATATTTTTAGTTTAACTTTATGCAATTTCTCGTGAAATGTGAAGTAAAACCGATTATATATCTGGTTTTGATTGTATACCTTTACTTGAAAACTTTCTCCTTGGCCGATGAACTGTCTACACGTTAGGCCTAATTTTCAAGTCTTTCATTCCTTTATAAATGGTTCTTATTTTCATTTCTTGCGTTGGCTATAACTTTTAAACTGCTTAATATATCTTAAACCTGAAGTATACCTGCATCATCCACAGAAGATGTGCTTACACTTGTATTAGGTCACTGTGACATGCATTGACCTCAAATTCAAAGGTCAAATAAATGCAATATTTTCTTTGTGGTTTGTTCATGTTTGTATCAAACCGTTTTAGGTATCTTGATGATTCTTGAAGTATATCTGCATCACCCACATATGATGTGCAATGCATTTTTATTATTATTTGATCGCTGTGACCTCGACCTCGATGCAATTTTGTTTAGTTGTGACTTTTAAACTTTAGAGAGTAAAGTGACCTTTTACGTCATAACGTTTTCATTCCAATAATCATATATGCATTTTATTATTTGGCAGAAGTCAGTTTCTTTATAGCCTAATCATATTTAAGGAAAATGAAGATACACAGTTTTTTGACTTTATTTGCAAGTTTTTATTTTGTAAGGAAGGAAAGACTATTGGCTAATTAAGAAGAAATACGTATGTTTGTGTTCACAAAGCAAATCTCCAGTCACTTATTTTGTTGAAACATTTTTTAACAAATTAGACTGTATTGGTGTTCCAAAGAGATCGAACTGTATAATTATATATTAAAAAAAAATGGAGCGTCCCATCATTTTTAAAGGAGATATATGACTATTTATCATAGCCATTTCCGAATGACGATCTAATTTCCTTAGTATTATGTTCTGCGGAATCAGATATTTTCGTGGGGCCCAAATTTTGTGGTTCCCCAACAAAACACATTTCATGGGTACATGGGAAAAAAAGTCCCACGAAAATTAGTGAGTTCACAGCAATCTGCGAGCGGACGTCAATTTACATAGCCACTGAACACGTTCGTTTGCTGAACTAGTGAGCGCGTCCACGACCACACTATATGATCAGGACAAGCTATAGAAAGCTTTTCCATCACTGCTCGCCAGTAAGGCGATATTTTCCCTCCGAGCATATCCCCCTTGGCTACCTGAAGCCACAGGGTCACGACGCTGTCACAAATAGTGTGCAACTGACCATGGTCAACGTTTCTGAACGAGTACATATAAATATAAACTTTATATGATTTTACAACAATTATGAAACAAGTTATTTTAACTTATATTAATCGAACCCCAGCTGACTTGGTGAAAGGTGAGTGATATTCACTGCACAAACCGAAAACCCAACTAGTTTCTGAACTAGTGAGCGCCTCGCAGAGTTATACCAAGTCAAGTAGTTCAGACTGTATTTCCCCTCATATTCATTGGTTCCTTCAATTGGACCTCACCCCTGGGTAGGGCATGGATCTCGGAGAAAATTCTTGCAGCATGAATTTATTTGTTTTATAATGTCTCGACTATTGGTATATATGAATAGAGAATTGGTACTGGACCTTTTTTTTTGAGTCCAAATTCTCCCATCGTATATACATTATTTTATGAATAATAAAAATCACACCGTTTCGAAAACACAACATCGAAAGATCGCGACCGCCAGTAACGTTTACCAGAAGTGAATCTGTTAGTTGTGTTTGATTGCTTGTGCAAGGGTAAATTTGTTACATTTACTGACTAATTGATAAAAAAAACCAGTTCGATAAAAAATCATATGTTGAAAACATCAACACTTTCGTACATCAGCAAGATGTAGAAAAACAAATCAAAAAGTGCACGGGATAAAACAACAAAACTGAGTTAAAATGAAATGCCGTTTACAAAGTTTAACAGTGACTCCAATGAAGTCTACGGACACATAAAGGGTTTCATATCTAGGACTTGGAAATTTTATGACAAATTTCATCATTAATACGAACATTATACTTAAAAAGGCCCACTGTAAGTACGGAGTCACGCGCGTGACATGTCCCCTTTTTAGAAGATACAAATGAGCAGTACGGAGCCAAGAGAGGACAACCTCATTTCTGCGACTTGGTAGACACCATTTTTTAAGGTTTTGTTACATTTTTAAGAAGCTTATTGCTGGTCGCGAGGGATAATCGTTGATGCAATTCACTCTTAGTCCGATCAATTACACCCATAATATATGGATGTATTGACAGACGAGGCTAGTGCCTGTGATCGATGAATTTGAATGACTGTACATTTGTATATGACAGTTTTATATTGGTCTCTACCACCATTTTCATTACCTTAATTCCTACGTGACGCAGAACCCATAGTAAAGTAAGTTTTGTATTTGTTTGTAGAACAGAGATAGATAGAGAGTCTGAACAAAAGACTGACTTTAATGCGGTTTTTATTGATGCGGTCGAAGGCCAAGCCGATACCGCATATATTTCTGTGGGAAAAGGCACCATCTGGTAGTTGGTTCAGACTGCAACTGTTTGCCGTCGAGGAGCTCCGAAATGCGTTCCAGAAAGGAGGATTTGTGCTCCTCTGGCTTTGCGCTATCCGTTTAATTGCAAGTCAAATTTACGTTCAGCTCTTGCATTAAATTGTGATTAGGATGTAAAACTTTGGCAATAGATTTTGGATTTACACTCGTACATGTAGGGTTGAAAACGAAATGGACCCGTTGTTTCCTCGCAATGGCTTTTCATACCGATGTTGTTTGAAAAGCTGTAGATGGATTGGGCTCGGCAACTGCCTGCAGATCCAAAGATCATAGAACCACAATCGAGTTTTGATAAGTGATTGGTATAGGCGCTAAAGTGTTTTAATGATCTGTATCTCAATCAGTACGGAATAGGACTCATAGAATGATTTAAGTTTTTTTGGAACGTTGTATCGTTCCGACATTTGTGCTAACGTTAGATAAAGAAACTGTGTTAGATCAATAATTGAGTTTTTCATTTTTGACAAAAGTGCATGCATGCATTTTTAGATTTACGTGCTTCCCATTGGTGAACCTGATAATTTGTTATTGCAGTTACAAAGCAACAGGATCATCAGTGCTCCCCTTTCCCTAGTCAGCCACTTCTCAATGATCGATTCTGATCCCACCACAGACGATAACCCTCACGTTTTATCAAAATCTGCAAAAGGGTTTTTAAAATCGAAAATATTAATGTTTACGATTAGTTGATGGACAAAGGCAACCACAACAGGTTATCTGAGCAACTCAGGTGACCTAAACAGTCATGTTGGCATCGGACTACAGATGTAGCATGTCTTACTCAAAATCAGCTGGGAAAATAGGTCTTACACTAATAGGTGTTTTGACGTTCGGAGGTTGTTATTAACGTCAAAGAGCATTTTTTATTGTCTGATTTATGTCGGATTAATAACTCAACAAGAAAATATAGGCAGTTGTTTGCCTTCTCATGCAAGCAAGATCTCTATAGTTTGGCAAAGGCTCAATGGGCCTGCCAATCCAAAAATGATGAAACAGGATTACTACAGGTGCACAGAAAACACTACATCTGAGATGTGAAACACAGAATAAAGTATTTATTTGAAAATTGGAAAATCAACCAGCAATCTTCCAAATTTGCATGAATTTGAGAACAAATGTTGGTTTTAACAATAACATACATGATTTCTTAGGATAACAAAATAAAATAATTATGTACAATATAAAATCTCTGAATAAATTGAAACAATTTGTGTCTTTAGAATTACCAGCAGCTTTGACCATTTGTGCATAGAAGTACCATGTAGATGAGCAGCTATCTCGGGTATAATGCTTTGCAATATTTTGAAAATAAAAATTTCAATTCACAATTCATTGTCAATGCAATGCAGCTTTTTTTGTAGATTACGGAGTAAAACGATTGCAATGACGCTCCAACAATGTGATCTCAAAGTTGCCTCATCATCAATCTCGTGTAAGATTGTCTATGTCACAATAAGTTATTGCATATGAATAATTACCATTTCTGTAATGAAACCAACAACCAACATGGATACTATTGTTTGTTTCAACGCTAGTCAGTATATTCCGATCTATGTGCAATGTGCAAGTTCAACAGTATTCTAATGCCTCGTGAATACTAGATACAGATATCAGTGTGGATGCTTTCAAGTGTTCTGATACACAATACTCTGGGGTTTTTTGCTTCATCTCCCTAATAAATATAAATTGACATAAAAATTCTGAATTAGCAGATCTAAAGTTGGTATGTAAAGTCCTGGCATTCTGAGATGTGTTATCAAACAGTATTAAGTAAAGCCTTATTTACATAAATTTTGGCCATTATTATACATTCTTTCAGGTGAATCCTTTCAGTATCTTTGTTTCACATACCACATACAGTTTGTTGGAACTCATTTACCCTTTCACCACTGTAGACCATAATGGACTTATCCAATTCAATGCAGGGTAGAGTTTATTAAAATTACATACGGATGAAAGGGTTAAGTTATAATCATACTTTTAGTTTACATGAATGTGGTAGGGTAAAGCAGTGACGATTTTGACATGATCAATGACTGAAATAGAAAGTGGCTGATGAGAGTAATTGAAATATGTATCAACTGTTTTCAAGAATAAATGTGTTTTACGTATAAAGATATATAATGTATTGAAAGGCACAACCTGCTTTAGATATGAATGAATATACACACAAAATACAATTACAAGTGATTAAACTACCAGAATAGTAACAAATATGTTATTTACTAAGGGTACACAAAACTGGTTACATATATTGCAAAAATACATTTTAACCATCATTTACAAGTGGTATAAAAAAAGTCAACAAAATACAAAACCAAAATGGAGAGAAAGATATAGCTGATATGGAAATGACTAATTACATGGAATGTGTGTTTGTCTTAGTGGTCTTAGCTACCCCCTATAATAAACAGCAATGGAAGTGGTGTCATACTGATGTTGCATTTTGATGTCATAACTCACAGAGATTTCTTCTTATTACAAAATGGGAATCATCTATAACGTATTGCTTTCCTGATATAATACAAATGTTTACAAACACAATTCGGGACTAATAACAAAAGAAATATTATGCATATTATTTATATCTGGGACCATCCAAACATCAATTGAAACATGGCTCTTTTTGCATAGGTTTCACACCATTTAAACTCAAACATTTAGTTCAATTAATGCTTTCATATATTTGAACTCTTTAGTTGAAAGTTGTGTGTCTGCAAGTTGAATTCACCAATATGTTTAATAGCGGAAAATGTAAAAATAACACCAGCAAATTTCTCGTTTTAAAGAAGCCCATAAATTTGACAATAACTTTAGTCCTGATGGCCTTATCAAGGTCAAGGGACTTGAGGACACAGACCAGGTTCACAAGGAGTTCAGTAGGAAATGTGAGAAATATACTGGGATAAATGAGACAATCAGGAGAGAACTGCTATAGGCCTGCCTAGCCTGTTGTTCAATCCCATTCATGTATCGTCATTGAATAAAATTTGTTGAAATGAAATGAAATGAAAAGAGAGTAAAAAAACAAATCATGCGCGTTGATCATAATGAGTGTCCGCTACACCACAGATCTATATCACAATGTTATATCAGTGTCCAATATTGTAGTCGTCAGCAGTTCAGGCCAAATTCACTGTCACATTTGTCGGCCAAAGTCTATTGGCTGGTCCCTTGTATCTGTCCATTGTCCTTTATAGTCGAATCCTGAAAGAGCTGTAATAAAGGAAGAAGTCATAATTATACACACAAATGTATAAATCAACTCAATAACTTCACATATCAAAGTCCTGTGCAGCAGTTGATTTGTTACTACAATTGTACTTTGGTCGGTATTTTAGTTACATACATATCAGGAATATCGTTATACTGTGATATTTCCTGATATTTTTTATTTATAATACACTTTGATTAACAACATTTTTTTTCTGAAATTTAGAAATCTGTAAAAGTCTTACTTTACAAAGTCAGGAGCCTTGGAAATGACATGTTCAAACTCGGCAAAAGAAAGTGAATCATCGTCGTCTAGATCAGCCTCTTCAAATATCTGTGAAAAAAATATTATCATCAACCTCTGTACCAAAAGTATATAAAATACTACTTAAAGAAGATATGAGGATTTGCCCATCAGGAATATGCATGACTGAAGTGGAAGGAGGGGGGTTTCTAGATAAATCTGTGATCACCACGTAATTAGCTGAACAGTTCAACATTTTGGATTTTTGCTTGAAGCATATTTATTAATTACATGCACTTGCACTTCACTTAATCCATGATAATACTATATACAATCTTACAGTGTAACATGAAATTCATAATATAATGATTTGGCTAAAACATTTTTGATCTCAAATGGATAATTTTAAGGAAAACCTTACATTATCTATGAGTTGCTGCATCTCCTCATCGCCCAGTTTCTGACCTTCTCCTGTCAGGCGGTCAACTACCTCCTTTAGGTCTCGGCTCGACAACATATCATCTCCATCAAAATCTAAAGGGGAAGACAAATTTAACAGATTATTTAAGCTAGAGTTTAAACAGTTTAAGTAGTTGTACCCTTGTAAACAGAAGTTTTTATATTTGTCCTTACATGTTTTTATTTTCATTAGAACATGCACATCCTTGTCTTAGGTTATGAAGTGCCATTTTAATTATTTATCCTAGTTTTAGAAAAAGCAGACTTATTTGAATCAGATATAATAGGTTTTATAGTATTTGTATCATTTCAGTCCATAATTGTTGTATTGACAAAGGCTTAAAAGATCCTAATCATGTATATTTTTTTTATCATGTTTGACACTTAATTATAAATCATGCCAAAACCTCTGATGAGAAAATGTAAATGATACTATTAGCTACATAAGATAAATGGCTGCATCAACAGATGAAGAAGGTGGACTTTTCTAATAGTATTTACCATAGATCCTGAACGCATATTCAACTTTAACATTCTTCGGTGCATTATCACTGAAGACAGACATCATGTCTAGGAAATCCTCAAATGTCATGTCTCCATTCCCTTCAGACGAGAATACTTTAGTGATCTGGTCTTTGAAAGGATTCACCTGTAAGGTAATCATGGCCAATATTTACGTTAATAAGGTTTTACTTAGAGCTTTTCCAGATTTCAATTTTCCACTAAATAAGCATAAAGACCTCTAGTAGACTTGCAATTAGGTCGAGGATAACTATGCTTTGCCAAAAGATAAATTATTATTATAGAATAAAATGACAACTATCCAAGATCAACCGCTAGGCCTTTCTGCCTTCTTAGGCTTGTTCGTACTGATCTTTATTTGATGTTTATATATATATATATATATATAAAGCAATAATGAAGAAATACCTTCAGTTCTGGGAGCTCCAAGATGGTTTCATTATCCAGTTGTACATTTTTGTTAACCTCCGATACCTTCTCTGGGTTCAATTCTCTAAAGCGCTTGTACACACTGAATACACAAATATAAACATTTATCAGTATAGAATGTGTAGCATGATATTATGGTTTGGTCAATGCTTGTCCATACTTAACCCTGTCCCAGTATTTCACTTTTATTTTGTCTGTATTGAAATGTTGTGAAGGCATTCACTTAAAACTACTTTATTTTGTGAACAGCAGGACTGACCAGTGTTATTTATGTCTCTTTATTTTCATACTTCCAAGTTGGTATACATTTATGACCAAACAAAAGTAACAGCTTTCAGACCTGAATACATTTTATCTGTTACACAATTCAATAAATTTGGACAAGTTTTATTTGATGTAAATTTATTCACCTTTCATTTTCAGCAATTCAATATTAATTCCAATATGCTGATATAATTTGGTAAAAAAACCATTCCAATGAGAAAGACAGCCATCCAGAGAAAAACTACCATTCAGAACAATCTGTTATTAAATGCATTAATGTTACTTACTGTAAGATTTCCTTTTTTGTGAAGTATGTCAGCTCCTGAAATAATTCATACAAACTTAAATAAGTAACGAAAAAATTCAACAATACACCAATTATAATAATTATATCATTATCACGTCTACAGAAATTAATTTAATACTTGATGATCATGTTATAATTATTGTTTTGTGAAACTTGAGGGATTTCTGCCATGTTAGCTGTAGTGTCATATTAACAATCTGATTGGCCAACCCTAAAAGGTAAACTATGAACTTCCATAGTACAGACAATCATCCAATATATGGTCATTGGTGTGTACAAAATAACCCCTTTAAAATGACATATTTTGAGTTGTTCTCTCAGAAGAAACTATTAGATCTGAGAATATAGGAATAGTTTAGAAATGGAAATAAGGAGAGTTGGCAAGTATGCAAATGCCAACACCCATCACTATCAAATTTTATTTGTATGACAATGTTTTTCAATATTAATTTTACTATATGAAATTGTTATGTTGAGTTGGTAGATTTTTTTTCAAAACCTGCCAGATGAACAGTAATGTACAGTGCTGATATTTTATACTAGCCTGTCAGGTACACATGTGAGTAAGAACATCGTAATGGGTTGTATTAACTTTTGGGACACACAAGTATTTCAGTCCTGATCCCAGTATCACAAACATATCTTAACGAAATTCCTTTTAAATTGTCTGCAGGAAAACATTACTCGTACCAAGGACACTTTCAACAACTCAGGATTTTCCCTCCACTCTAATAATGTCTTGAATTCCGATGGAAAACCTTTAGGTCATAAGTAAAACTGAGGCCTGGACAAGCACTTATTTTGATAACCAATTGTAATGTATATCATCAACTCATTCATCTTTAGAATAAAAGGTTTGAACTTGCCTAAATAGAGCTGAAACAACAGACTATTGCCATTCTAAATGTTTTGATGGGGCGGAGGACAGGTAACTATCATGAATGAGAAAAAAGATACTAATGCTTCTTCTGCTTGGTAATACTAAGCCTCCTTCAACAGGTTGAAGATTCTGCTATGTTCGTAGGTGGTGTGCGCTGGACTGACACAAAGGTTAAAAAGTTAATTAAAAACTGGATAAAAACAAAGGACCTCAGAGTTTTGACACACTGGCCTTGAAGGCGTCCAGTGTGTTGGCGAGGGTGATGTCTGGCGGGAGGGCGTTCCAGTCTCTCACCGTCCTGGGGAAGAAGGACATCTTCCTTGTGTCGATCCTGCTTGTGAGGAGCTGGTAGGATCTGGCATGGATAGATCTACCGAGTCTGCGAGGTAATAGCAGTCTACCGCCTTTACGTATCGCAACTAGGCCTCGGTCCGTCCTGTACAACATAGCCAGGCGAGCGTCATGGCGTCTTTTCTGGAGTTATCTCCAACCAAGTACGCCGAGAATGCTGGAGACGCTGGAGGTGTTTCTGTGGCAGCAGGTCACGTACCCCGCAGCTTAGTTCGAATTATTCTGACGTTTTATCGACCTTTTTTATATCGGTCTGTCGTCGATTAACGTCAGAACTCCTGCCCTCTATAATATGCGGGAAATAAGCGACCCGCACCTGGGTCACTCTTCAAACTGATTTTAGAAACGAATCGTCACTTTCACACACATCTCGTTTGTGAACGCCCCAAGAGCCAGTTCTGCATCCATGTATTGATCCTGCCTTGGATGCCGTACTCATGGAGCTTATGGATGAGTAGGCTGTGATTAACCTTGTCGAAGGCCTTGGATTTCCACAACGCTAGTTGCTTTATATTAATGTATCAGTATCTTCTTTTCTCATTTGTGATAGGTACGTGTGGTGCTCTAAACTGTGGCTTGGTATTTTATTACCTTATGAATTGGATTAAACATAAGTGTTTATTCTCTAATATTACTCGATCCTGGTATTTTACATGTGTAATCTAGGATACAACTTCATGGAAGTTTCAATTTTCAATACTAATCTACAATCATTATGTTGACAGATGGAAATCTGATGATCCACTTCTGTTGAGAAGTGTCTGTGACTTCCAGGTGTAATGTCAGATAATAAAATTAATTTAAAACATATGACTAATTTAACAATCAGATACCACAATTTAGTTAGTCAATAGCCATTCTAAAAATGGTGGCCATGTTTTTCAATCACTTCAATTATAATCTATTTTAAACTGTCGAACCACTTTCGGGTCACGATTTAGTTATGTCAACATTGATTGACAACCATTGTAAACAACCTTAATTTAATACGTACCGATGCGTTTACGTTTCATATTGAGTTTAAAAGTGTGTCAATCGAAAGAGAAAATGTCAACCTTATCAAGGTTAGTGTCATCAGCATATTCACCTGATAATCATCGAGTTCTTCCTCGGTAAATACACTCTGTGATCCTCCCATTGCGATTCGTGTCGCTGCTTCAAGATAAAATGGCGATGGATATATATAACTTCCGAATATTATAAAAATACATACGGAACAAGCATTATACATTAGCAATAGATACCAAAAAATAATATCCGTCTTAACCATGTATATAAATTCCAGATTATGATGGAAGAAAATATAAATAAAATATATACAGTGCTATATTGCTATATTTTATTTAAATTACGTTTCGTTTTATTTTGATTCATTTATAATAACCAAAGCCAGTTCCCGGAAGTGATTCATAATGGAAAGGTAGTGACTGTCAAAGCAGTTATGATGGAACAATTTCATTAGTTAAAGCTGACGTGTGTGTTTGACTGAGATTGAAGTGCCATAACAGACCGAAAATGAGCATGTTTTCTCAAGTTCCACAAGCTAATCCAGGTATATCTGAAAGAGGACTGAATTTACACTACCAAAACAGCTGATTTCTGAGTCTCACTCTTGACAGCTGATCATCTTATTGACAAAAAATCCATGCATTCTCATTGAAAACTAGTTCTAAACAGAAACAAGTTTGTCTTTGTTTTGTAAAGTAACTTTTTCGAATTCTTTTTGAGATATTGAAAGAACTCGGATACCAGAATGAGCTAATATTAATAGTGTGACCATCATTTAGTTTTTTTAAACAGCAAATAAGGCATGCATGTTATAAACATGCACAGTATAACAGTATAAAAGTATTTTATATGTCACTGGTTATTGTGTGGTATTTTTATCTGTCAGAATGTCTTTAGTATGGTGTTTGAGCCAAAGGAAACTTGGACAGGCATCTACATATCTGTCAGAATGTCTTAAGTCTGGCGTTGAAACCTCATAATTAGGAAACTGTGGCTTATATTACCCATCTGCAGTATTATTATGACATATTGAATTGTAATATTATAAGTCGAAAGGTTGCCTGGTTCATATAGATCCACTGAAAGTAAAACCTCAACAAGCAGTCATTAATCCTGTACTTCAGTACACCCAATTACAATTGTAATCACTATAAAGTCGGCATCAGTTCCGCGCTATCACAAGGACAGACAAACACGAACATATCGCAGCCTCCCAAAATACACACACATACACTACACGCATGCATCTTGCACACAGGGGAGGCCGTCCTTAAATGACCTTAGCTGTTAATAGGACGTTAAACAAAATCAAACAAACAAACAATGGTAATCATTTTATAATAAGCCCATGGAAGGTTGTAAAAGGGAGGGAGGATTGTCTTGGAACTGTGTTGGGTGATCACTGGTGTATAGAGTAACTGTATGTGTATACGTAGCTAGAGTTTTCTGTCTGGAGTTCCGAGGTCTCTTGGTTTGGCTGTTGTATTTTTCCGTATAGTTGATTGCCTTTTACAACAATTTAATAAGACTAATGGTAGTAGTGACTATATCCAGTTCATTTGTTTACAGGAAGTCACTTAAGTTCACTTAAGAATATACCATCAGAATTTCTGGCCAGGTATATATACTCACTTGCTGCCACCAAATGTAACTGGTCTGGGTGTTTATCACATCTTTTTTCATCCAAGGCTACCAGAGACCATGCAAGTTCTGAGCAACTTGGTGTAATATTATAACAGGAGATAGAAATATTAGTTGATTTAATACCTGAATTACATGGAAGATATCATTGCAAAGATTAACAAGATTATTGAAGTACCTGTATACTTAACTGTAACATACAAAGACGTTTTAGTTTAATAAATACAATTTTTCTTTTTCAGCACAACCCAATAATCCTGCTTTGTATGAGGTAAATATATTTCTTCAACAGTGACTGATTCTTTACTTTTATCACATCAGAATAATTGTTACATGCTTGATGTAATGTTCATACTATTTATAATAACATCACTTGTCTAGTACTATTACTGAAAATGTAAAATTAAAATGAAAACTGTAATTTCATACATATGTCACATGATACAGCTTGATATTCAGTAGTAACGAGGAGATGAATATGAACATTGAACTCGGTAATTGAAAAAATATATAATGTTAAGTTAAAGCAGCAATACAATATGTCATTTATACATGTATTAAATGATTTTTGACTTTAGTCAATAATATGTTAATTAAAGTAAATCTTAAATTTTCTCTTATGTAGGAAGTTAAATTGTACAGAACTTCAAGAGAGAGAGCCAAGTAAGTATTATCTGTGTGCCCAGTACCTACTACAGTTTATAAACCTATGTTTACAAGGTACAAGTCATTTTCCAAATCAATATTACCATGTTCGCCATAATTAGTGCCCCTTCCCCATAGTGCTTCGATCCTTTTTCAGGAGGAATTGAAATTATATAGATCCCCTTCTTCCCCTCACAGACCTGAACGGGCCTGGTCAAAAATACATTGTATTTACGGTTCAAAGCAGAGCTTTAGGTCAGGTGAACATGGCTGAACTTTCCATAAAGCAGATGAATTATTTAATTTCCAAACTTCCAGCTACTATTGAATGTTTATAATGGTCTTTAATGACATCAACAATTTAGTTGCACAACTTTTTTATACGCCCGTCGAAGACGGGGATGTATTATGTTATCACGTGAGCGGGCGGGCGGGCGGGC